GAAGTAAATTCTCACTATTTATTTTTTTGTTTTCGCGCACTCCAATCCTGTTATAATATTACTAGCAAACCAGTGAACCAAATGTTCACCAAAACCTGATTTAAAAAAAAATGTATTTAATTAATTGAGAACTTCGGAGATTTTGTGTGGTTTCGTTTGAAATTCGTGATTTCTCGAAAACCGGAAGTGCTACGTTACTCAAATCCGGTTTGTAGTCTTATCAGACTATTCTTAACATATAACTTAAATATTCTCTTTATCTATCTCTTACGGTTTGGCCGCAGAAACAGCACCACAGACGGACGGACTTGTCTAATAGATAAGAGATAAATGCGAAAGTTTGTATGTTTTGTTACTCAATCACGCAAAGATTACTACAGTGCCCGGCACGTAAGTTGAACCCAAATTTTAGTTTTCAGCGCATTTTTACACAGAAAAACATCATAGCACTAAAGAATTATTAACAATAAAATATTTAATGAAACACAGCAACTGTTTTGTTAAAAAGACATTTAGTTTTGTGCCGTTTCTCTGTGAGAAAACATGCGCTGAAAACTAAAATTTGGGTTCAACTTACGTGCCGGGGGCACTTTAAACGGATTTGGATGAAATATGGTACGCGTGTAGTTTATGACCTGGATTGAGACATAGGTTACCTTTTAATCCGAAAATAATGTTAGATTCCTGTGAGATTCTTAACAAAACAAAACTAAGTGGCGCCACTAGCCATTATATAAAAGCTATTTAAAAACGGGACGGTATTTAATTTTTTGAAAACGGAAGCTGTTAAAGTTCCGAAAAGTTATCAATAAAATATTAAACTCGTTATATAACACGCTTCCCACCGAGCTTCGAAAGTTAAAATTTTAGTTAGTTAATATAATTTATTTATATTCATAACGTCGTTTACGGCAAAACGTCTACTATAGCAGCCAGTACCGGGAAATAAAACCACGATGCAACTGAAACTTTTTAAAGCATCAATTAAAAAAAATCCAAAAAATTCGCGTAGCAGACGAGCTTTCTTCCACTGAAGAACTACAATTTTACATACAACAATGTCTACTGCGCAAGTATATTGTCTGTGGTTTTGCCCAAGAAGTGTGCCGCGATGCTACCCATACCATAGAGAAAGTAATCATATTGTACCCGCTGAGCTGACTGAGGGTGTATTCCGAAATGTACATCAGTATACTGGCCAGTGGTAATGACGTCACGAATCCGACGCCATATTATGCTGGTATGCTACCATATTTTTACCGGGAAAACGAATATGGCGCATGACCGAGCGTGCGTGAGATGCATTCGAATTTTATTTCTTTTTTATTTAAAGAACAATAATGGCATCCGAACAAAAAGAATTCCTTTTAATTAATGAGGTGAATAAAAAAACCTTCTTTATTCGCACTATTTTTAATATTTCGTCGATTTATGACATCAATGCACTGGCCTGTATACTGGTATTTATTTTATTTATTTATCATCAACAAGTTTCAACAGCGTTTTACACAATATAATCCAATATAAAATTTTAAACGGTACTTTAGCCAATTACAGAAACTCACTTTGTATTCATATATTACATAATACACCCTGAGTGATGCTGGGCGCGGTGCCCGGAACGGAAATAGAGTATGCATGCACCTGGTGCACTGCACCGACTGCACGCATCACTGTGCAAGCGCAAATCATTTATATCACTGTCCCAAAGAAAGTGAGTGTATCCATTTTTATTAAACCTAAAAAGTAAGCGAGCGGCTGATCTCGGCCCATATGAGACCTGGAGCTCCAGTAAGAGTGCAACGAATGGGTGAGACCACTCGCTGCATGGCGAACGGTGGAGGCGAATGATAGAATAATTGTCAAATACTTTGTGCTATTAGACGACGATAATCTATCATTGTCATGCTTTATGTGAAACGACAACGAGAATTTTTTGATCGGTTTTCATTGCGGTAATTACCGGTTTTTATTTGTTCTGCGTGAAATCAGTAAAATTTCATATTTCGTATTAAACAGGTAACACCGGTGACGAATGATTCAAAAATACTGAAAATCAGTATTATGGGACTTGAAAGGCGTAGGTGACTTATGTCGCATTCGGCGATACTATGTCAGATGAGCGATAGAGCTCCAGGAGCTGTATTTTGAATCACTCGCCTTGCGTCGAACGCTCGATTTATACTAATTTTGATTCGACATAATTAATTCCGTAATTTTGAATCGCTCGACGTCAACGAGCGGTCTCGACCACTGGTTGCGAATTGGCGAATGACGGAGGCGAATGGTAAAATAATTGTCAAATATATGTCACATATTTTCAAGATTTTATCTCAATCTTTTTAAAATATAGATAAGATGACGATTTATTGCGACGTTTTGATCTTTTCTTACAAAAAAGGCAAAAGATTTATTAATCAGTTATTGTGAATTATACGTTTATTTTTAACAGCGGTAATGACTGCTTTTTATCTTTTTCCGTTAAATTAATAAAAACAAATATTTTCTATTAAACTGGTAATACTTTAGATGAACGATTAAAAAATACGGAAAACCAGTATCATGCGACTTGGAAGCCGAAAGGGACTCAAGTCGCTTACGATGATACTATGTTTGGCGAGCGAGACAAAAATAGAGCTCCTTGTAGCGGGCTTTCTTTTTATCTCAATTAACAAAAATAACAATAATAATTTCTTATAAAATTTGGGAATTAGAAATAAGTTACGTACCTAGTGAGTAACGAATTTATTTTGGTCACCGCGAAAACATACTGAATCCGTTATCATGAGCTTTAATTTACTTACTGTTTACAGTTATATGTACATACCTAACCTTAACGGGACTGTTGCCCTTAACACAGATTATTTTTTAATCTAGCTAGGGCTCAGTGTGACTATGTCAGAAAACTCTTATGCTTAAAAATGTTTTTACTAAGTATAACCTACTTTATAAGTTAAAAAGTATGTATTTTAGTAACTTAAAATATTGTACACTTTTTTGGCAAAATAAAAGATTATTCTTATACCTTTGTTTTGTTCGAGACGCAATTAAGGATCTATTTAAACGTAACTACACTATCATTATAACACCTTATAAACTACCTATAATTAAATTTCTACTGTATGAATACTTCATTATAAGACTCAGTAATGTGCGCGGAAACCTAAAGAACGATTAAGGACTTGTCTCAGTTAATAATTGCAATAATGCTTTTATAATAATTGTACTATTGTAAATGCAATATGTTCTACTAATGCGTAATAGTAAGGGGCAAATATGTGCTTCCCATTTACGTATGTCATAAATTATATGTATTTGCATAATGTATAACGCAACGTAAATCAGGAGGATGCATCAATTTAACTCAATTGCAATTGCGCAGGCGCATAACGCATACAGTTAAAAGTTATAAACAAAACGCATTAGTCTCTGTGATCGAAATTGTATACAGTGATTAGTGAAATCGCTAGAAAGCTACTAAATAAGTTTTTATTTTAGGCATTTAACTGCTAGGTGTTTAAGTCTAAAGAAAAGTTTACTAGAACTTCTAATCCCAGCCGGTCTGAAACCGGGTCTGGACCAGGTGGATTTTTTTTTCTCTTAGTAATATTTTCTTTACATTTAAACTAATAATAATTTGTTGAAAATAACGTGGGCCACAGCCCTTAATTAACCCTTGACTGTGTGATTAGTTACATATGAAAAGTGTTCCATTTATAAAATTTTTAATCAAATTCACAACTGCAAAAAATTTTGCAATGCAAATCCTAATTTTAGATTTTATATATAATATAAGTTAGCCTCAAAATTAATGTGCGAGTTCACAATATAAAAAGATTTCGGAGGATATAATAAGTAGTATGGAAGCCAATTAAAACTAAAAATGCTGAAAATAAATACGTTCGTTTGGGTAAGCAACCTGGAGCTCTAGTTTTGAATCACTCGTCTTGCGTCGAACGCTCGATTTCTACTAAATTTCATATTTCGACATAATTAATTCCGTATTTTTGAATCGCTCGAGTGCAACGAATGGGTGTGATCACTCGCTGCATGGCGAATGGAGAAGGCGAATGATAGAATAATTGTCAATTTTTTTGTGCTATTAGACGACGATAATCTATCATTGTCATGATTTATATGAAACGACAAAGAGTAGTAGTAATTACCGGTTTTTATTATTTCTGCGGGAAATGAGTCAAATTTCGTATTTCGTATCAAACAGGTAACACTGGTGACGAGTGATTCAAAAATACGGAAAATCAGTATTATGCGACTTGAAAGTCGAAGGTGAATTATGTCGCATTCGACGATACTATGTCAGACGAGTGATTCAAAAATAGAGCTCCTGCACTTTGCAGATTCACGCACTCTTGTTTTGCAGAAGTAAAGGTGTTCGATTATGAATAATTATAAGGTGAACGCAGACTTGGCCGCACCGCAGTCTCCGCAGTCCCCGCAGTCATCGCGTTTTGTTAATGGCCTCGCAGATCTATCCGCACCGCAGTCATTGCAATCGTTCCCGTCGCCGCACGCATCGCACTTGATTTATTACATTATACAGCTCATTGTATTTTTGAACCAACGTAATTAAACTATAATCGTCCATTATTGCAAGGACATAAATCAATCGCAGAAACACAAAGCTAACTATTTCAATTGCGCACGCACATTGCACATCCTCCTGCTCCGGTTTGGCTCGCGCCCTGGATGCGAATGACGTCATCCGCGCCGCGCTAGCTGCAGCGTCAGCCGTCAGCGTCGGGCCAGCGTCGGTGATGTCATCAGATGCGGCTTGGGGAGTTCGGCTGTTTCAGGGACTGCGGCAATTGCGACCAGGGTGGGTGTGCGAGGTTGCATAGAACTTCAAATAAAGAGTTTGAATGCGAAGACTGCGGCGCGTGCTGTGCAGCCAAGTCTGCGTTCACTTTTATACCAGCGGCCCTGACAGAATACTTATCACACCTGACCAATGCATTAACGTACATCGTGTTTGTTATCAGTGAGCATGGGTTCCCTGCCGCGGCTGTCTGTGGTGACCGGCGCCCGCACCATGGTGCCGGCCGCGCCGCTCACAGAACATCTCTCGCACTTGGCCAAAAGCGACAGGACCGCTTTGGTGTTTGCAGGTCAGTGTGATCACTTTTATATGAGAACCTTCGTGGTGTGAGTGGTGTGCATAAGCATAGCTGGGCACCGTTAATCAAATAGTTAACTTCGTTAATCGATAATCCGTTCCAGAATATACTTTGAGTACCTCTCCAGTCGGCGGCACTATAAAACTCGGCGTACAAACCACTCGGCCACGGAGGTCGTCAAAAGGAAAAGTACCTAATGAATTGAAAAGATCACACGCGACGCAATACATGCCTTCATAGTTTCGGCACGCCTTGTAGTTGTTCGCCGACCTGAGCGAACGTTCTTGTTAGAACGCGTTTTTCCGGTGCCTGCATACCGCAAGCACCGCGCTTTTTGGTAAATAGTAAATACTGGATTAACGATTACGGATTCGACGGATTAACACGTTAATACCCAGCTATGTGTATAAATCGCGGCACGAAACTCAAGCGCAGACCGTTTTTGCCCAGAAGTAAAAATTCAGATGTCTTGGGGGGAAACGAGGTGCGCGGGCGGGCGGGCGTTGCGCCGATTGGCTCTCTAGCCGTACCCATGCGTCAGCTATCCCCTCCGGGTTTTGTTCAGCGCTACAATTACGTGCCGCGACCAGTATGCCATAGGGTGATTAGATAAATCAAATCTTAGTGAAATTACGAAAATGCAGATAATTTAGATGTAGCGATGATATTTCTCAAACTTACTGAAAATCGATAGGATATTTGCGAAAACGCGAATCGCATAAAAATTCGTTGACAGTAAGATTGAGCATTGTCTATGTTTCAATGTGTATTTCTAATGGTTAACCTAGAATCCCTTACACAAGCTTTATGGGTTAGACTAAATGGTGTGAATGTAAGAAAAAAAAACCTTTTTAGATATCGTCTATAAGGTACAGTGCGTTAAGCTTAAGTTTCTTTGTTACTTTGTCCTCGGAAGCATCTTGTTATATAAAATAAAAGAATATAAATTTAATGACACCTGCCTCGTAAACGTTTGGATTATCTATAAAAATAATTACGAGGTGAACAAAACTAATAACAAAAACATTATTTCACAAGGTCCACTGCAACGAGCGGCAGTCGAAGCGATTGTCGCAAGGGCACTTATTCTAAATTGTAGATTGATCATTATTAGCCTATTAATGTCCCCACTGCTGGGGCACAGACCTTCCCTATTAATGGAATAGGGAAATTGGGCCATGACACACCACGCGGGCCCAGTGCGGATTGGTGGGTCTGTCCCGTATCTGCTGGACTGCAGATGCAGACGGGACCAATGGCTTAACGTGCCTCCTTCCTTATTAGTTCCATTCCTTATTAGTTTATTTTGTTACGAAACTAGCACATTATCGGAATCAGGGAAAATAAGGTCTAATTACGGGACACGGGACAAGACGCAAAAATCCGGGTCATCTGGCAAGCCTAGCGTGTGTTAGTTAAGCGCTAAAATTAGTGTTCGAACTTTGAATTAAGAAAGCTCCTTCAGCTACACAGCTGCACATTCAAATTTATCGACTTCCACAACCAGTTTTATCGTGTCAAATTATCGCCAATCAAGCTATCATGCATATGATTTATCGGGCTGCGTGTAGAGCGTGTACAGACGCTTATAGACACGGAGCCCAACAATTGATTACAACAGAATTATAGCGCATTTTATACCAAAGCCAGCGAAAGCTTCGTCGCGCAGGTCGGAGAAATATTAGGAAAAAACCGCATTGTCCCAGTAGTATAGAGATCAGTGCATTCGCCCGAATAACGAAGGAAGTTAGTTCGATTCCAGCCACCTGTCTGCGAGGAGTCGTATTTCTAATAACCCAGTTGAAAGGAGACCTTCGACTTCTGCCCAATTTTGTACCTTGGTACAAATTATGTCAAAAACATCTAAATTATACTTTTAGAGACTCGCTCTTCAAAATCTCAAATAAATTCAATAAATTTTGTAGAAAATCTGAATTGAAATAGGGAATCTGCGTATAAAGAAACGTTATTACTTAGACACAATTTTATTAGTCATTGGCTGGCAATGGCAGCTTATACAGGTCGCGGCTGATCGCGGCACGTAATTCTAGCGCTGAATAAAACGCGAAGGGGATAGCTGCGTAAGGGTACGACTGGAGAGCCAATCGGCGCGACGCACGCCAACCCGCGCACCTCGTTTCCCCCCAAGACATCTTACTTCTGCGCAATAACGGTCGGCGCTAGTTTCGTTCCGCGACTTAAAATATTGGTTATCATATGTTATATTAATATAAAGATGAACATTTACCATAAGATAATTATCTGTGTTGCCATCAATTTAATGTTTAAACGAAATTAGTATGTGGTACAAGTGGATAATAAACTTTCTATTTTAGCCTTTCTATTTTTGATGTATTTTGATTATTTTTCTACACATAAATGCATGATAATTCTTGAGGTACAAAATTGGGAAGATTTGTTTGGAGAAAAGTATGGATCCTTTGTCTAAGATACCTATTGAACTTCCATTTTTGAAAGCTAAGTGTTACGTAACTCGACATATAGATATTGCGTGAGTTCAGTTAGGATTAGAAAGTACAATGGCTATACAAGGTGTTTATGTGATTAAATCAGATTAAACTGTTTTATTTAATCCAATAACTTCTAAGAGTCTTCTAAAAATTTGACTCGATAAGTAATGGTCGTAGCAGACATCTCTCCGTAGGCTAACTTCCGTCTTTCCGTAGCCTAGCTTATGTCTCGCCGTAGCCTAGCTTACGTCTCGCCGAAGCCTAGCTGACTTTTCTCCGTAGCTTAGCTGAAGTCTCTGCGTAGCCTAGCTTACATATCTCTGTAGTAACCGATATACCGCCTAGCCATCAACCAGCGATGGGCGAGCCGTAAGTGTGGCATCGCGTCGCCTAGCCGCAGCCGCTCCTGCTCCCAACGTACTGGATCTGCTTAACCGTTTAAATTACATGTTTACGTTAGGTGGACTCTTGTTTGACGGCAAACCGAAAGACGAGTCGGTGTCAATCCCTTTCCGAGGTGATTTGTCCGCTATGCTATGACGCTTAATTGTAAATTCGTCCTTTTTCTAAGAACTAAACTAGTAACTTCAGCGATCGAAAGCCGATTATACGTAACGTACGTACTAAGTACATCAACGAACTTATCTATTACTATAGTAACTGAAATACCCGTTAGATTCATCTGTCTATACCTAGGTCATAGTTGCGTACGTCAGGCCAGTTTGATAGCTAACTCGATATCACGAAATAATTTCTGTCAGTCAAAGTCAAGTATATATGATTGGCAGAACACTAACTTGTTCATGTATGATTGTTTTTAATTGAACTGCATATAAGTGCTTCAAGTTTTTCCTTTATTTTTTTCCCCGACGAGGAAATGTCTGTTTGCATCAATTAATCATCAACATTAAGGATCTAAATCTTTAATGAAGATAGCGGTTAAAAAATTTGACCTCAAACGGTGGAACAGTCGAACATTTTTTTGATTTGTAAAAACTGCTTCTGCGGATAGCTCTATACCCTTAGTCACTGCAGTCACACACTGCAAGTCGGGGCCCAGAAAATAAAATAAGGGGAAATAAAAGGTTTCGCTTCAGTTAACCGAAATCTGTGCATAGTTGCGCGCGTTGCATAAATTCACAGCCGGCAAATGAGGCTTCACCTAATGGTGCAGGGTGTGCGTTGCACACGGGCACAGCGGTCTCAGGTGGCGCCGAGCGTCAGGGCAGCTACACACATAACCGTGCCGGCATAGTCGGGTCGGAAATGTTTGTTAAACAACAAAACTGACCCGAAGTATTTACCGCACTTGTTCGGCTTCATTCGGGTGGATACTGTATTCGAGTACTTGCGGAACGAAAAATCCGACCCGAGGCTATCACTACATACGCTCAGTTCCAATCGGTACCGTTTTCAATCTTCACTGTCAAATTTAAACTGAGTTGTGAATCCACAACATTCATCTTCACTACCCTCACTTGCCACCATTACATTTTGACCGCGCGCTTCCTAGAGGGCACTAGGTTAATGATTACTGAAGAGCGGTACAAGGGCTAGAGTCGCTTCTGACAGCCATCGTACAATTTGAATCGTACTGTATAGCTGCGTGTACGCTAGACGAGCCCAGCACGAGCGGAGCGGAAGCCGAGCCGCTCGCTCGGAGTGTCAAATGTGAACGTCCAACGAGCCTACATCAATCGCTCTCCTCGAACATAGGTTTCCGGTGTGCTCGTGGCTTACGACGGAGACGGACGAGTTGTTTGCAGCAACCGAAGCTGCTACAACGATTATTATAGTCGAAGTTAGTAAAACAGCTAGAAGGCCAAGACGATGGGGATCTACAAATTTATATAAAGACAGACAAATTATATTAATTAATTGCAAACAAACATCTTCACCCACCAATCCGCACTGGGCCCGCGTTGTAGGTAATGGCCCAATCTCCCTATTCCATCCATAGGGAAGGTCTGTGCCCCAGCAGTGGGAAAATTAATAGGCTGATGATGATGATGATCTTCTGTCCACGTTTCCATGATGCTCTGGCCAGCGAAACGAGCGTGTGTCAATTAATGCGTCCACGAGTGCACTGCGAGCGCTACGCAAATCCCTTTATGTTCGTCAAAAATCCGACAACGGGCGGAGTACGGTCGAGCACGAGCCGAACGTTCGAAGCGCGCTCGTTCGAGGCTCGTAAGCCGGTCCACAGTACACGAATTTCGGCTGCGCTCGTCTAGCGTATACGCAGCTTATGATTGCCGCTTGTTGTGCTGTATTATATTAATATTTGTCTATTATTAACAGATGAGTCGGGGACTGTTCGCATCAGTTATGCGGAACTGGAGGCGCGCACCAACGCTCTGTCCAGGGCCATCGCCAACAGAGCGAAGGCCACTGGCGCGAACAGGGACGGAGACTTCGTGATCGCAGTCTGTATGCAGCCTACCCACAAGTGAGTGCCTTAGGCTTCCGAATTAGGCCGCGATATTATCGGTCTAATGCTTTCAGGGTTCATGTATGTATGTATGGTACAATTCTTAATTTCATCACAACTTCTACGCCTGAGCCGATTTAAATATTATGTAGTATCGTTAGAATCGAGGAGCTCGATGGCGCAAGTAGTTGGTGCGTTCGGCTGCGATCGTTGAAATTTTCGTTTGTTTGAACTTTTGCAATGGTCGGTCATTAGATGGGTGACCAAAAATTTACTATCTCGAGCTCCTCCTAGCTTCGCAAGGTAAGTTAAGCCGTTGGTCCCGGCTGCATCTACTGTCCTTAGCACCCACCAATCCACACTGTGCCCGCGTGGTGGGTAATGGCCGATTCTCCCTATTCCATTCATTGGGGAGGCCTGTGCCCCAGCAGGGGGGCATTAATAGACTGATAATGATGATGATCGTTCTTACGCCATCCTGGGTGACATAGTATTTTTATATAATAAGTAATAAATAAAATGGGCCACTGATTTTAGGCAAAAGCCCGGGACCGACTTTAGAAGCCGTTGCTAATGATAATGTTATAAAAAAAAGCTTTTGCATTTACACGTAAAATTCCTTTAGTCGTGAAAAGTTAAGATCTCAGTAAAATAAGTTACTCGACTCTATGGGTACATATCACTTCTATTTATTTATAGCACAATAATGGCGTTGCTGGCCACATGGAAGGCTGGGGCTGCATACGTGCCCATGGAACCGAGCTTCCCTCAAGCCAGGATATCGCATATCCTGAAGGACGCAGAGCCAGCGCTGGTCATCTATGACGATACTGGTGAGACTATTCATGCTTTTTTTATGTTAAAAGAATGGCGAACAAGTCTATGGCCCTATGATAAGCGGCCATCATAACCCATAGACGCTCATGATACCAAAAATATCACTGGCACGTTGTCAACCCTGACTCTAGGGTCAACCCCTAGGGGTTGGCCCTAGCCCGTGGAGCCGTGGAACCTTAATCACTGACAGAAACAACACCACCAAAAGGTAGTGCTATTTTACTGTGTTCTTCTGTAAGATAGATAAGACTTTTTTAATTTGAATTTTTGACCACACCACATAATGACTAGACCGGATTGTATACAACATAAAAAGCTTGCGATATGCATGCAAATATGCATGAAAAATGCTTGAAATATGCACGAAAATTATCAGAATATGCCAAATTAAATGAAAAAATGTAGGAAAACTATTAACATTTTTTTATTTCAAAATCAGCATCAATGAGTATTTTTGTTAGACAGTAAAAGTACAGTAATATTACATTAAATTAAAATTATTTCTTATTTTTGTAAACGTTAACAATCAAGTATTTTTCCAAATTTTCAGTGGTTAAATTGTGTCTTCGATCATTCAGAATATTTTTGCAAGTTGAAAAGAATCGCGCCACATCGTCTGAGGTAACTGGGTAGAATTTAAACTTGGGTGCTATGTTAGCACTAACAGTTTCTGGCAAAGGTTCTGCCGTCCCATTAATAAAACTATCAATTTGACACAAACTTTTAAAGCCTGGATATATTGTTCAATATGTTTTCAAACTTTTTATATGCGTAATAGGTGGAACGAGTATAGTAGGCTAGCGCGACGCTCTTCAGTTTCTTTCATTTGATTATCGTAACTGTCAAAACAAAAGATGCGCGCAGCTACGGACTCCGCGGAATTCGCGATATTATATCACTTTTATCGCATTTCGGAAGAAAGGGTGAGTGCACTGCACTCGGAAGAATATTGTAAATGTAGCGATAATATGCATCATAAGTAGATCATAGGAAAATATGCTATTACAGTTTAGAATGGTTTAAACAAGCAAATGCATATGCAAATATTCATATAATCCGGTCTCTAGTAATGACAATAGACTAGCAATAGTTAATCAAATACCTTCACCCATGCTTTAAAACCTCTTTAGCCGATTCTGAATTGAAACAGCTAGTTGCCAACATTAAAACACAATCCGCCTCATTCCAAAACGTGGACTAAAGTTAGTCATGGTTTAATACTAATGTCGTCTCTGTTTTCTTTTTAACAAAAAAAGTGATGGTATCAGTTTTAGTCCAGGTTTAACTTTAATCTACGTTTTGTAATAAGGCGGAATGTGAATGTCCTAATTAAGAAAACATAATATCATCCAAACGGGTGTTACCATAGAACACAGAGGGCCTTGTGGGCGGAGCAGGCGAGTCACAGTTATGTGTGAGCAAATATTCATAACTTGACCAAAGCTTGGTTCTGATTGCGTCATTGCTCTCGGGTGTGAGCGCCGATTGGATCGATTGTTTGATGACGCGTCGTTGCATTGGCAATTATCTTTTAAGTAGAACTTTAGTGGGGGCGAACCGGCGACATCGGTTCCTGTACAAACGGTCTATTAGCATCATTCTAACCTCTCTGTATTCTGTGGATATTACTGTAGTAACGTAACCCCCCCGGTTAATGTTTGTGCAGCGAATCCGTCGATGTTTTCTTCGAGCGGGGTGCCGTTCGTCTCCTTCGAGGAGTTGTTCGTGGAAGCCAGCGGATTGCCAGCGGAGGCGCTGACTGACGGGGAGAGGCTGGCTGCCCTCAGGACCCACGGTATCGCCATCGTCCTATACACTTCTGGGAGCACGGGAATACCTAAAGGTAAATTTATTTCTGTTTTTTTTTGTTCTTGCATATGAAATCGAAGGTATTTTTTCGCTAATTTCATATTGTTAAAGTGAAACTGTTATTACATAAAACGCTTCACTTTTTTTCGTTCGTCTTTAAAATGACGCATTACATTATCGTAATTGTTAAATAAATTCAGACCCTATCAACAAGCAACAGTGGTTCAGTGGTAGGAGGCTCACCTACTACGCGGACGGCCCGTGTTTGAATTCCAGTCGAGGGATTAATAATGATTTTTTAAATTTCGCTTGCATCGTCTTTTTGTATTATTTTATCGTATAATACAGTAATTATTTCCGCATTCAGAGACATCGATTAATATTTTTTAAGTTGGATCAAAAAGTTTTGATATATCTCTTTCCTTACACGCACAATGGTCCAATAATTAGGACTAAGTGCGGAAACCGCCCTGAAGAACTAAACTAAACTATCTACCTTTCCTTAGGTGTTCGTCTAACCTACTCCGCCATTTGCAACCGTCTCTGGTGGCAGTTCCGTACGTTCCCATACTCCAACACGGAGGTGAACTGCGTTTGGAAGACTGCCTTGACCTTCGTGGACTCTGTGTGCGAGATATGGGGCCCCATGTTGCACGGCAGGACCCTCATCATACTGTCCAGGGAGACCACCAGGGACCCACAGAAATTAGTGCGAGTGTTCAGCGAGAATCAGGTGAGTAAGAAAATCTAATTATTGGCTATGCAAGTGAACTTTATTTTGAAGTTGCATTAGGCGCCTTGCTCACCTGGGTGTCTACTATCTTTCTCCGAAACCAACTTTCGATAACGAAGTTCAAACGAAAGCTTTCTTTGAGTAGGCTTAGAAAATATACACCTCAATCTATATTTGGACGACGAATATTATTAGAGTCTGTTCGGAAAGAGAATGGGAGTTAGATTGGAGGGCGCTGTAGTGCTTTTCTACCGTATTTGTAAGGTTTTAACCCCTTTAGACATGATTAAATACAAAAAATCGCAAGAAATCACAACAACAAACAAATCCGTATCAATACATAACTTTGACATTTTACAGATTGCTGGGTTTGATTGCCAAATAAAAATCTTAATGTTAGTTCCGTTTTTCGCCACGCCCATTCTCTTTCTGCACAGACTCTAGTTGATTTTTTATTTAAATTTGAGTATAAGGATTAGGTTGTTTCCGAATTTCAAGTTTTACATTCCACTATCTTAACGTATATATTTAATTTTTAAGCATGTAACTGCTAGATGTTTAAATCTAAAGAAAATTTAACTAGAAAAAATCCACGCGGACTACCGCGGTCGCTGTAGCGAATGGTCAGTGTATTCGCCCGGATAGCGAAGAGTCCCGTCTGCTGCTTGGTCCGCGTGAAATATTTTCTTAATGTTAACGCATATTAATATATTTCAGGTGCAACGTTTAGTTCTAGTGCCAACACTCCTGCGTTCGATCCTTATGTACCTGTCGTTGAATCCTTCACAAAGACCATTGGAGTGTCTCAAACTCTGGGTCTGTTCGGGAGAAACTTTGAGCAAGGAGTTAGCGTTGAAGTTTTTCCAATACTTTGGGGACCACAGCGGTTACAAGCTGGCAAACTTTTACGGCAGCACGGAGGTCATGGGAGACGTCACTTATTATGTGCTGGAGAAGAGTGATCAGCTGGATATACATAATACGATACCTATAGGTGAGTGAATAATGTGCTGATCTCCCGTTGTTGAGATCCTGGGGGTTTTAACTCAATCCCAGCAGCAAATCGTGATAATGAAAGCCAGATGCTTCTTATATTCATCTTATTCTTTCTTGATATCAATATTCTAAAATAATATAAATATATATATATATATACCTAGTCAGGTCATAATTTCTGTCACATGTTTAATATAAAATAATAGAAACAAGTTTATTCATTATGTAACCATTTATATACCAAAATGAACTTAACAAAACATAGATTCTTATGACAATAAAGTTTATTCAAAATGACATCCGTGATTTTGAATACAGGCCTTCAATCTGCGCGGCCAGTCGTCTATCGCAGCACGAACGAGGTCCATGTCAATATCATCGCCTGCCTTAATCAAGGATGTCTTGAGTGACTCCAAATTGGGATGACGCCTTTTCCTCCAAGTGTTACCATATCTTGTAATCTAACGGACTCAAATCTGGACTGGAGGAGGTCCAGTCTTCGTGCCGGATGAAGTCGATTTCACGCGCCGAAAGCCACCAGTCTTTTGTGCTCTTCGCTCTATGAGCTGGCGCTGAATCTTGTTGGAATACCCAGTGCCTGTTATTAAACATGGTATGAGAAACAGGTTCCACAAGGTTCGTCAGGATTGTATTTTGATACACAACTGCATTCGTTTTTACACCTTTCTCACAAAAATGTACCTCTGTTAAGCCCCAATAAGAAACTCCGAACCATACCATGAGCGAGGATGGAAAATGACCTCGTTGGACACGCGGAATACGGTTGCTCGCTTCTTCACTACTGTGTGCATACACCTTATCATTTTGTTTGTTGTAACTCTCTTCTACGGTAAAAATTTTTTCATCCGAAAAAAGAATTTCCCGATATTTTTTCCCCGCGTACCGCTTTAACAAAGCGCGGAATCTCTTCAGTCTCAGATCCATTAGACGAGCATTCAAACGATGTCCTGTTTTTCTTCGATATGCCCGAAGCCCTAAGTCTTCATTTAACACCCTTTTCACCGTGGTTCTGCTTAACCCCATCTGAAGGGCCAACAGTTTCTCCTTACGTTTGGGATTTTCTTTGAATTCGCGCCTTCACAGCTTTTATCACTGCTGGAGTCCTAACAGACCGAGGGTGACTACTTCTTGACCTGTCATCTACACTAGAGTCTTCATTGCATCGTTTGATGGTACGATAAACGAATCTTTTGGTTATATTCAAAATTTCCAGTATGTCAAAAATTTTTGGCGCGTAACCGCAACGATGCAACGCAATAACTGCAACACGGTCTTCTTTAAGCGTCCACTCCATATTCAAAAACGAGTAAAATTGTAAAATGTATACATTTTTATTTTCATGAACAATTCTGACTGTGACTGGCTGTGTATATATATATATATATATTATTGCGATCGTTGCGCAGACAGGTAGACAGCAGTCAAAAGATTGTCTCTTTTTAGCCTTAAGATTAATATTTTTTCAGGTCGAAAATTTCTGATATTCTCCGTTACCACCCCGTAGATCTCATCAGACTTGTTATTGTTAAAGAACTTGGCTTGAAACCTGTCTTAGGCCTTATAATAATAAAGTTTGCATCGAATAATATAAAGATGTTATTTTCTGTTTTTTGAAAAGTGATGTTTTCTGTGGTTTTCCTCTCTGAAAGCGCTAGATGATAAATACGTAACACCTAGGTGCGTGATTAATTAACGAAGCCATAAATTTTACACTTTACATTAATTTCTTCAGGATTTTCAGAGCGTGTTTTCTTTGTGTCTTTTATTTAGTAAGTGACAAGTAAATTCCATTATCGTAGGATATTTTTTCAATAATGATGACTAACATGCTTTAAAAACCAATTATTTCTGATCTTTGAAAATAAATTACAATAGATAAAATTACCTATATTCATAATATCATTATACAAAGGAATTGCATTAGTAACTTAAGCATAGCTTATTGTATTATTGAAAGTACTTAATACAAGACCAATAGACGGTAATGGTTGGTCTTATACCCCTTATCTTAAATACAAGTCAGTTATGCCAATAGTTTTCATTTACATAAACTTTAAAGAAATAATTGATGTTTTGAATAATTGTGAAAATACAATTAGATTGTATTCAAATGAGATTAAATGGTCCTGATTAAATGCTACTTTTGCCCCATTGTTTCGTTCTCGGAAACCTTTTTGTAACAATCAGATAAATAATATTTTGCAAGATAACATCAGTTACCAATACTATCAATTTAAAACTCATCAAAGAAAAATTTGGGTCGCTGTGTCCGGCCTTCTTCTTCTTCTTCTACTTGCTACGGGCGTTTCCGCAACTCGACGTCCTTATGGCGCCTGTTTTGCGTGAGGAGGGTGTATGGCCGGAGTCACTCCAGCCAGCCCAGCTCCGCCAGGAAGGCCCCCAGGGCCTTCATGTTGGTGACTGCCTCTTGAAGGTTTCCCGGTGAGCCGAGGTATTTCGCCCGGTATTCGGCCACTCCGTTGCATTCCAGCAGAACGTGAGTAGCTGTTTCTTCTGCCTCCATGCATCCTCTGCATAGGGGGCTGTCCGTGACACCTATGTTGAAAAGATGTCTGTTAAAATGTGCATGTCCAGTAATAGTACCTGTTACCATGCGCAATGTAGGTTTGCTTAGCTGTAGGAGAATTTTGGAGAAGGCAGCGTTCACCCGTGGCAAAGCGAGCTTAGTCTGACTGCACGTCTCCAGTTCGAGCCAGTGTTGCTGGTGTAGTGCGGCAGTGTGCTCGCGAATTTTATTGACGAGACAGCTTACCGGTATCGGGACGATTGGTTCGGGGCCTGTTGGGGTCGTATCGGATCCCTTCCGGGCCAGCCCATCCGCAGCGTCGTTTCCGCGTGATCCACTGTGTTCCTTGATCCATTGGATGGTAATAGAGTAGCTCGTCCCTACCGTGTTTAAGGTTTGGTGGCATTCTTGTAGTAAGCTCGATCTGACTAAACAGGCATCTAGAGCTTGTAGGACTGAAAAAAAAGTGTCCGGCCTTAAGCTCAGGGAATAATGTGAAAGTACTAGCGAACTGTTATTCGGCATGGACGGGTGTTGTTGGGATAGGACTATCGATAGAGGGTTTTTATGATAAAATTTCCACTTAGAAGTAAAAATTTAGTATAAAATATAATGAAAATGATCCAAATTAACAATTTTTATTAATAGCCTTATTGAATGATAATTTCACACCAATGTACAACAGAATGAAAGATTTATATAACGAACTCGCGGACACTTTTATATGGAAAAGTATTAAAGCCTCAGAAAATGGCTGTTTAGGAGAAGCCAGGCCGAAAAGAGCTTGTACGAGCGCACAGGTCTGCCATTAGGAATATCGCGTTGTGTCATTCAAAAAGTCTTATCACCTTTTCTACCTTGCAGGGTCACCTATCGACAACTGCGGAGTTTACCTCCTAGACGAGGACATGAACCCTGTTCGTGAACGCGAGCCAGGCGAGCTGTGGGTGGCCGGGCTGAACCTGGCCGCTGGATACGTGGGAGCGCAGGGAGCCGACAAGTTCTGCGACAATCCTCATGCGGAGCACACTGGTGAGCAAGAAACTATTCGAATCATCATCATTTTCCACCAGACAAGTGCGAAGTATACCACCTAGACGAGGACATGAACCCTGTTCGTGAACGCGAGCCGGGCGAGCTGTGGGTGGCCGGGCTGAACCTGGCCGCTGGATATGTGGGAGCGCAGGGAGCCGTCAAGTTCTGCGACAATCCTCATGCGGAGCACACTGGTGAGCAAGAAACTATTCGAATCATCATCATTTTCCACCTCGAGCCCTGAGGAGCTCGATGGCGCAAGTGGTTAGCGCGTTCGGCTGTGGTCGTTGAAGTTAAACAACTTACGCAGTGGTATCAATCTCCCTATTCCATCCATAGGGAAGGCCTGTGCCCCAGCAGTGGGGACATTAATAAGCTGATGATGATGAAGTGCGAAGTATACCACCTAGACGAGGACATGAACCTGGCGCGTAAGCACAAGCCGGGCGTGGTGGACGCGCAGGGTGCTGACAAGTTCTGCGATAGCCCTCACGCTGAGCACACTCGTGAGTAGGAAACTACTCGGATCATCATCATCTTCCATAAGACAAGTGCGGAGTATACCTCCAAGACGAGGACATGAACCCCGCACAAGCCGTGCGCGCTGGGTGCTGACAATTTCTGCGATCAAGCATTATCCTTACGCGGAACACATTGGTAAGTATGATAGACGTACGTAGGCAATGGACTGAGCGTTCAATGTCCAACTGAAAAGTAAAACTAACCAACAAACGTATTACCCCTTCCACTATTTCAATCTTGGTTCCTTTAAAAGAGGTGTCAAGAAGCATTTCTGCAGGCCGGCAAGGTGAGGATGGTTGTCACTGCTATCTTCGAGACTTTATCTCCACTTAACACCAGGTGGGATAGAATCTTTTGCCTACCTACATTTAAAGAAAACAGACACTTAAGTGTGAATGAGACGAAGAGATCATGCGGCCAATAAGATTGTATAGTTATTGCCCACACCATCGAATCAGTTCTCTCTTTTAAGAGAGTTGTCATTTTACTTTGAAACATTACTTGGTTGCTTTATTCTTTAAGACACGACCACGTTTCGTTCGATTTGAGGCTAACGACGGTGGGCGAGGTGACCATGATCCTATTTTCGTATTCCATCCCCATGGATCTATGATATAGGCTGATAATAATAACAATAAAGATATCTCAGTAGGGATTTAGTGTTTATACTTATCCTCAGTCAAATGGTTTTGTTGCAGATTTTAGTAGACTATACCGCACTGGTGACTTCGGTGTGCTGGAGAAAGGTGTGGTGCTGTATGCGGGCCGCACTGATGCGCAGGTCAAGATCCGTGGCCACAGGGTCGACCTGCTGGAGGTGGACCGGGCAGTCAGCGCCGTCGAAGGAATCGACAAATGTGAGTTAAACCTTTACTGTTTTACGTTTACGACGCAAAGGTCAAGATCTGCTATCATAGCTACTTTCTGGCAGAACAGCGAGTCAGCGCTCTCGAGGGGATCGACAGAAGTGAGTTTATAACTTCTTACATTATTTTAGCGATCTTCGGTAACATAAGGTCGCACTGATATGCAGGTCAAGGTCTGAGTGGACCGGGTAGTCAGCGTCCTTGAAGGGATCGACAAATGTGAATTCAAACTTGAATGATTAATTCTTAAACCCGGGAGGTCTCATCATATTTATGGCCCCGATATGCAGGTTAAGTTCCGTTCCCTCAGCCCTCTCATAATCCTGCAACCGAGGAGGTTGCATAAGGCCACCCCGACGCGCAGGTCTAATTTCGTACACTCAGCTCTAGAAGAGGTCAACAAATATGATTTTAAACTTGCTCACTCAAATAGCAGATGGTGCAGGATCGAAGCTTAAAATAATTCAAATTAGGTTATTGTTTTATCTAATTAAGTCGTGGGACGAGTAATGGACACTATTTTTTTGTCAAAAGAAGAATGAGTGGAGAATTAACTTCCTTCATTCTTCATCTTTTAGTTCCTCCTCCTCGAGGGGTTTCTCCTCTATATCCTTGTAGGACTTAAAGATATAATATCTAGATTATGTAAGGTCTACTTTAAGGCAGCTATATTAAACTTATAATTATTATTCGCATCTTGTGACGTTGTTTTTGTTTATTATATAAAAAATAAGCTTCCGTTTTACGAAAAATAGGTTTTCTTATTTTTGTTCTCTTTTCTCACCTATTTAACCGGTGGACTTAATTTAATACATTAATAGTCCAATGTACCCTTTGCGGTACACGCTGCTTGTACCGCATAGGGTACATGAATTTGTGTCACTTTATGGGTTATTTTGTCATGTACTCGGCAATTAGTAATAATCTTTGTATGTACACTACAATGTAAGTAATAATCTAATCCTCATGAATATAATATGTGAAGCTTAACCAGATAAAAGTAACTATTTTGATATTTTATAAAAAGGACTTGCAAAGGAGACCCGACACTTTTCATAGAAAAAATGCTAAACTTGTATACAGTTGAATTTGGTCTCAAAATAAAGCCAAAATTATTTGCGACATAAAACTACTTTTGCCTTATTTTTAATGAATCGTGGAAAGAAGTTATTTAATGATTAATATTTTTTGATATAGAAACCGTTTTGATGACAAACCTACGTATTTGACATTGACAGCTAGCTGCTGATGACAAATATTGCCAGACTACGTTACCCAATTATGGAACACAGATAAAAAAATTAAAAAAGTATACAACTTTGGCACAAAATGCCGGGTGTCCTTTATGTTTGGTGTCGAAAGTCTTTTTAATATATACCCACTGGTGCATCCTCTCAAATTATTTGATTTCTATTCTAAAAAAATTTAGGTATTATCATGCTTATATTTTTTTTATATGTTCGACTACTGTACTTATAAGGAGGCGGTGCAGTCGATCTAGGATTTTTATAAAATAAAACTCTGTATTCAATAACACAGTAAGAAAACAACTAGAAAAGTAATCCAACAGAACAACGGGCGGTCCTTTCGATAATCTGCGATTTCTTCCAAACAATTTGATGAACGGGAAATAAAAGAAGGTAAGCGAATAACGGAGAGTTGAGTGCATTACAAGGATACAGAGCTAAAAACTTTTTATTACTAGCACAAAAGTTTCCAGACATGACAGTGTTCAGTTATTCTAATTTCTTTATCAGGTGTGGTGTTATGCTACGGACTGGATGTTGGTAATCCTGAAATCCTGGCGTTTGTCACTACTTTACCAGAGGCGCGTCTATCTGCGCAACAAATTGAGGCTAAGCTGAAGACTTCGCTTACTCACTATATGATACCGCAAGTGAGTAATTCTATTTCAATTTACTTATTCAATTCAAGTCAAGCTCAGAAACTTTTGCGAAAATCTAAAAATATGTGCCTTAATTTCTCAAATCCGACTTGTACGAAATTGAACCGATCATACAAAAAACTTAAAACGGATTTTTAGTCGGAGGTAACAAGAAAAGTGCGCTTCACTTCGATGTTTTAGCAATGAATGTGAAATCTCTTAAAACAAATTCTTATTGTAATTCAAGAAGCTCCATGGTGTAACAGTTAGCAAGTTCGATTTGCGATTTTTTTAGTGAAATATTTCTTCCAGTTTAATAATGCAGCAGTTATTTAAAAAATGCGAATGAATTACGTAGAATTGTAACGATTTTTAGGTAATTGTTATTGAGAGCGTTCCGTTGCTGGTGAACGGAAAAGTGGATCGGCAAGCGCTGCTGAAGATGTACGAAAACACCAACAACAATGGTAAGTATTCATAGGAATCTATAATTGTTAACCTTTTTTTATTTTATTTATTTAATAGGCATACTTACAGCTAAACATATAAACACATTAAAAAATAAAATAATACTTGTTCTAAGACTTAAATGTAAGCATTTACAAGCACATTCAACGTTCACTCGAGTAAAGTACAATGTAATTAATAGCAAAAATAAAAAAAAAAACTTTTATTAGAAGTACACGAGTTCTGTCGTACGTAATGATAATTGCATCATCATCAGCCTATTGTCCCCACTGCTGGGGCACAGGCCTTCCCGGTGGATGGAATAGGGAGATTGGGCCATGACCCACCACGCGGGCCCAGTGCGGATGGGTGGGTGCTGACGACTGCAGATGTAGCCGGAACCAACGGCTTAACGTGCCTTCCAAAGCACGGAGGAGCTCGAGATAGTAATTTTTGGTCACCCATCCAATGACCGACCACTACGAAAGTTGCTTAAGTTCAACGATCGCAGCCGAACGCGCCAACCACTTGCGCCATCGAGCTCCTTATAATTGCATATCATCATAAAATTCACCATTAGAGCTATTTGTTTCCTAAAAAACGCACTAAGCTTGCTTCTATTAATAAAAGTACAGAACCCAAATTAACCAACTCTAATTTTGGCTGGTAGCACACCATCGATGCAAAGTTGGTTCATGAAATAAGCGTATTAAAACGTCCAGCTTATAGCTAACTGGAGCAAAGCTAACACAAACGTGTTTTACGTTAATTTGAACTAAATCACTGTTCAAAATATCTTCCTTAGACGACTCCAGCATTCCCCTAGAAATAGACTACACAGGCGTGGAGCCCGAAGCCCTGGAGGCCGCGCGGGTGCTCTTCGAAACCGTCGGCGAAGTCTTAGGCCGCTCCGCCAGGGGAGCTCTGTCTGTAAGGGCAGGCTTCTACGAGTTGGGAGGCAACTCCCTGAATTCTATTTACACAATCACCAGGCTCCGTGACAAAGGATATTATATCGGTATGAAATTTGAATTTTAGAGTAATTTAAGTTTTACTTTCGGCACAGATAAGTTGGCAGTAGGTTCGTTTAGCGCTTTTACTGTAGTAACGGGGAAAGTATTTTGTAAGTATTTTTTATTAAAGTATTTTAACTTATAATCACAATACACCTGAAGAATTCGACCGATGCTGAATAAGAATTATGACTAATTTTTTTTTCTTCGTTTATCAGGTAGATTATCAAAAAGTATTGGACACGTATTTATTCTTTTATCACATAATATAAACATTGCAGAGATATATTGATTTGAAAAGTAGCATGACGTCACGTTTTGGTACAATTTTCACTCCCAAACTTTGACGTGCTATAACATTATGATTTTTTGGTTGATTGCCCAAAGAAAAAATACGTGTCCTTTATTTTTGGATCACCTAACTGACGGACTAAATAGAATTTCGTTTACTGTACCCCGTCATCACCCCTATATATAAATGTCTCTTGTATGAAAGTAACAAAATATTTTGCTATTTCTAGTTAATTAAGAGTCACTTAATGATACATAGAAATCTCTTCATAGAAATCAGTGATTTCATCGGGGCTGCCAATCTTGGAGAGATCTTGTCACATATAACCACAAACTCTGACTGCGGGGATAAAGTCGACGAAGCCAAGTTTACTGCTGAACCCATGAGGGATGACGACAAGCAGCAGGTCATTGAGTAAGTAATTTATTATTATTTTGATAATCTCACACTGGATTTCACGGCACTGTTGGCATTCGCCATCATTTCTAAGACCCCGGGCTCGGAAAAACAGAAAAGTGTATTGGAAAGCTAAGTTCTTTATAAGTAATAACTAAGTTCTTTGATACTGATTTGCTCAGCTACTTTATTTCCTATTTTCTAAATAATCAGATGACCTTATGCGTAAAATAAAAAGAAAATCTTTATATATATAATTCTTCTGTGAGTGTGTATGTCACTGAACTTCTCTTAAACGACTGGACCGATTTTGATGAAATTTTTTGTGTGTGTTCAAGGGGATCTGAGAATGGTTTAGATTCACAATTTTGTCCGCTGGACAATGTTTTTTTAATTAATTTTTTTTATGGTGGTACGAAGTTCGCTGGGTCAGCTAGTATAGTATAATATACTCACAGTGGTATATGATAAAATTGATAAAAAAAAACAGCGGCAACATACCGTAGAATAGCGTATTTGCTTTTAATTAACGGTTTCGGTGTAAATTAAAAGTTGGGAAAGCCGTCACTAAGTAGGTAATACTCAGAAAGTTCTAAAGAAACCATTATCGAATTCGAATAGTTGAATTCGATCTAGATAAACATCAAATGTGTGAAAAAAACACCTTTGTGGCGTTGCTGTTCAAGTTTCCAAACAAAATTTGAAATTGACATTTCGCACTCGCATACAATTCGAATACGATACTGGTTCGTGCTAGGGGTACGTAATCGTCAAATTTTGTATGGAAAAAGCTAGTTTGTTCTTACGTCCAAAAGGGGCGCTGCTGAAACTTTGTTAATGCGATACGATACGGAGCTGTCAAAAATACGCGTTTGAGAATCTGAATGATAAAAAAGCATCCTATTTTTGCTCGCAGTATGATCGTGTCCTCGTTCTACGAGAAGGCCGAGTTGGAACAGTTCCTGAAGCACGAGATAGAGACGTCTGACTACGCGCACTGCATCGAGGCGTGCTGGATCGCGTTATTACAGGCGCGGCTCAGCGTAGTGCTGAGGGATGGTAAGTTAAAAACATATCCAATAAAGAATATGTTAAATAATAAATTTGTCTTTGGAAACCATCAAAAATATAGTTTCAGTGACATTGTCAATAAGGCTATTAAAACAAGGACAAAAGCCTGATGAGCGCTCAAACAACGATTGAAAGATACCGAAGCAAGTGCATATTAATTTTCTTGTCATTAGAAAGGTATTCTAAACTACATTGCTCTGTTAAAACATACCTACGGCTATAACTATTTAAGTGTGGTAAAGACAGATCTTGAGGTATGCTCCATTCCAAGGAAACCTAATTTCTAACTACAGTGTTCCTGTAGCGAGTAACGTTGTCAGAGCAGCGTTTGTTATTAGAAATGATATCTATCAGATATGATTCCGTGTTTTAAGGAAAATATACATATTTCTTTTCCATGATATCTTCATTAAGAAAAAGAAATACCTTTTCCGTAAAACGGAATCATATCACGCTCTCCACTATTTTTCCATAATCTTTATTTTTATAAATAGGTCCGACAAATGACGCCAGCTCACCTGATGTTAAGTGAGGGTGAAGTCCAGATGCGAAGATATATATAAGCTGATACAGTAGTTCTACCTGCTACACCAGCCATCCTCACCCTGCCGGCCTGCATGTTGCTTCTTCACGCCTCTATTAAACGATCCTAGGTTGTAAGAGAGAGGGAACATGTGAGCAGGCAAAGGATTCCATTTACGGATACTGCGACAAAGAAATGAGTCACCAAATTTCTTTGTACGCGTTGGAATTGTGGCCGCAGTTAGACGGTGACAACGTAGGCTAGCGTGCGTGGTCCTCTGAAGGAAAGGGGAAGGTGGAATAAGAGAGAATAGTTCCTCAGAACACGCGCCGTGGTACAGACGATAGAACGCGCTTAGTGACGCCACGTCGCGGCGTAATTGAAGAGACTTGATTTGTTTAGCATTTAAAAATGGATAGGTATATCATTTTACTTGTTTCAGTGAACGGAAGTGCAGTAGCAGTGGCTTTGAACTTCGATGCGCGTGATGAACCAGAGATCGAACTGTCAGGTGGACTGGCCAAGATCATGGCCTTCTTGGAGTTTGTTGAGAGCTCCGTCAGGGACACTATGCTGCCTGAGGGAAAAGGTAAGGGAACTCCAATCACAATTGAAAAAACAAAAAGCTAACGTTTCAGAGCTGCCTCAAAATACTAATTTCAAATTGCATTCCGTCTGATAATGTATTAATTCTAGGAACTAATTGTATTATCTAAAACACTTCCGTTTTGGTTAGGTCTAAGATATTAAGCCCATAGTATACATAAAAAAGTTACGGAAACACCGTAGGTGCAAGATGATATTAAAATGTATCGTCTGGCGCGTTCCTTTTTTTTCATACATATCAAATTAAGGGACTCGTTTCTTTCTTTCATTGCCATGTCCCAATACAGCATCCATAACTTATATTGTAAATGCGTAAATGTGCCTGTCTATTACCACTCCACGGTCAAACTGCAGATCCGATTATGATGAAATTACGTGTTCCTATACATATAGTTTCAGTCCCTAGGAAAAGGGCATAGGATAGTGTTCAGTTCAGTCCAGAAATTATCCTTGAAAACGGGGATGGAAGTTTGTATGGGAAATCAACATTTCCACATTCGCTACTTAAATAACTTGTCTAATGACTTATCCTGTTTGCCTTGCGTTATATAGGTGCCATCCTGCACTCGTTCATGATGGCCACGGCGTCGAGCCTCAGTGCGCGCGAAAACGTATCCGCCATTCGCGCGCTAGAACATGCTACCATGCGCGCTGCTCGTGAGCGACGCTTCCAAGGCGTCTTCACTACCAACACCAGCCCGTTGACACAGGTAACATAGTTTAATCCGCGGCTAATTGTATTATGAGAAAGTGTCCGCCATTCGCGCGCTAGAACATGCTACCATGCGCGCTGCTCGTGAGCGACGCTTCCAAGGCGTCTTCACTACCAACACCAGCCCGTTGACACAGGTAACATAGTTTAATCCGCGGCTAATTGTATTATGAGAAAGTGTCCGCCATTCGCGCGCTAGAACATGCTACCATGCGCGCTGCTCGTGAGCGACGCTTCCAAGGCGTCTTCACTACCAACACCAGCCCGTTGACACAGGTAACATAGTTTAATCCGCGGCTAATTGTATTATGAGAAAGTGTCCGCCATTCGCGCGCTAGAACATGCTACCATGCGCGCTGCTCGTGAGCGACGCTTCCAAGGCGTCTTCACTACCAACACCAGCCCGTTGACACAGGTAACATAGTTTAATCCGCGGCTAATTGTATTATGAGAAAGTGTCCGCCATTCGCGCGCTAGAACATGCTACCATGCGCGCTACTCGTGAGCGACGCTTCCAAGGCGTCTTCACTACCAACACCAGCCCGTTGACACAGGTAACATAGTTTAATCCGCGGCTAATTGTATTATAAGAAAGTGTCCGCCATTCGCGCGCTAGAACATGCTACCATGCGCGCTACTCGTGAGCGACGCTTCCAAGGCGTCTTCACTACCAACACCAGCCCGTTGACACAGGTAACATAGTTTAATCCGCGGCTAATTGTATTGTAGGCTATTGTAGGTAGGCAAAGCGCGAGTGATATTTTCTTATCATAAAAGTGTTCGATTCACCCTTTTTCATAATAAAACACTCAAAGATACAATAAGACACCTAAATGACACTACATCCAGTTACTTAGATTACTTACTCTAAATAAAATTAAGTTTTTCTCAACAGCAACTCGGCACTGATGTGCTTGGTTTCCAAACGCTCCTGGACTACCAGATCAACCAGTACGTGGACGCCAACGGAGACAGGATCTTTGGGAAGGCACCTGACGACATGAGAGCCGTCGTCTGCTGGAAACCGGTGGATTGAAACTGATCCCAAGTCGATTGCAAGTCGAAATTTTGTTGGAATATTAAACTGTACTAGTTGTATCGCTGATATATTGCAAAAACTGATATATTCAGTGCTTATATAAATCAGAAATAATCAACATTATTTTCCAAGTTCAAAAATGACGTTTTTAAAAACATAGTGTTTTGTATATTAAAGTAGTTTCCTATAGGTATCAACATTTTCCAGTGTTACAATTAGTTACAATCATATAGGTTACAATGGAGCATCTTAACATTACAGTGTTCTAAGAACATGAAATAATTGACAACAGATCTCATGTACCGCATAGGGTACACGAACCTGGCAGAAGCGCTTCGCATTCCAATATAGGGTACACTGTACTGTTAACGTGTTAACATTGTTGGGTACATATACAGACTGAGTTAGACCTCTTCAATATTTGATCGAAGTCTTCAGTTGACCACATATTTACCTAAGCTAAATAATTGATAACAAGTGGGTAGAGTCTGTGCGGAAAGAGAATGGGATTTAGATTGGAGGGCGCTGTAGTGCTTTGCTACCGCATTTATAAGGTTTTACCCCTTTTAAACATGATTAAATACAAAAAACCGCAAGAAATCACAACAACAAACAAATCCGTATCAATACAAAACTTTGACGTTTTACAGATTGCTGGGTTTGATTACCAAATAAAAATCTTAATGTTAGTTTCGTTTTTCGCCACGCCCATTCTCTTTCCGCACAGACTCTAGCTTGTTATTATAATGATGTTTAAGTGAAATATTGAGTAAATAGCTTTTTATTTTACTAATAGATTCAACGCTTACCTACTACGGTACTTTCCAGTTTACATTATTAATTTGAAAATGTAAGTTTAGGTATCGATATTTTTAAATGAAAATGTGTATTCTTGCCGTATCTTATTCTAGTGTAGATCGTAGTTATTTTGCAAAAAAAATATATCTACTATGTTACAATGTTATAAATCCACATAAAAAATCAACAAAAAATATTAGAACGAAGAAAGAAAAATCATTTATTGGCTTTAAGGCCAACACAAGTAAGTAACGATAAGAAATTATATACCGATAAATAATAAAAACAAACAGACAACAACAATATTCAGAAAGAAGAAGGGCCAATTAGGACCCTGCCTCAGCTTAATGTTGTTACAATGGGACGGGAATATTCCCACCGTAACAGCGCTGGTATTCTGTTAGAGTGACAAATATAATCACACTAATATTATAAAGGCGAAAGTTTGTGAGTGTGTATGTTTGTTACTTCTTCACGTCCAAACGGCGGGAGCGATTTTAATAAAAGGACATGTTAAAGTTTTGTATGAGCGACTGCCCTGGCAATGTATAAATACTGTACTTAGTAATATTTATGGTAAATGGCTGAATATTTATAATTTCTATGAAAAAATGTTCAGGAACTTTTGATAGTCACAATCTTGAAAATTATGAGAACTCCTACTGTGTCATTACCTTACTACAATTGATAAAAGATGTTGCCAATTATTTACGGAGTCATCAATTTCGCATTTTCTTAGAATCATTTTTCCCATTTCTCTGATTAACTCTTCACAAAAAGGTTTTTCAAAGCAAGAACAAAAAATAAATAGAAATATTTTTTTATTCTCGGCCTGACAGGATATATGTGAAGTTTTATTTTGTCCGTTTGCAAAAATTAAAGAATTAATTATCATACAGCCTTGTCTCAAGCCTGATCAGAATAATAAAATCTATTATTTTAGGCCTTCCGTGATTTGTTATAATAATAATTAAGGCCAAATATGTCATAGTTTGAAGGAGTTTAAAAATAATATTGTTTATTTAGATATACTTTCATAAATATTTTTGTGAACATTTATTGTTCATTTATTTAGTTTTTCAAACAGACACGAAGTAATTTTTTTTTTACTTTTAAATATTTGATTATTACACGAAAGTTGTATGATAATAAAAAACACGTTATAATTAATAAAAAAAATATTGTAAAGTTACAGGCTAGTGCGAAATATTCATACACGTTAAGGGCAGTTTCTTAGCCATGTCCTTTGGTATGGAGTTAACTGACACCCTGGATTAACACATAGGCTATGTTTTACTGCGGGAAAATATCCCTAATAAACCGCGGGTAACACCGCGGGGCACAGCTAGTTAGTTATAAATTTATATAGTTACATGAAAACTTTCTTGAATAGCCGAACCCACTGCAAGTTTCATGACATTACTTCAATAATGTTCTCTTTTTAAAGTTTCCAAATTGGATATCAAATTATTAAGCAGTACAAAAATATAACGAGATGAACTTCTTAGCAATCCATGGTTTCCCCTTGCGAGTGCCGCGTCCATTGTGTGGGGGTAAAAGAAACTCTGAACATTTCCCGGGACTTCCGACCCAGGTGTAGGTTTAAGGAGGCATCTATATGTGTAGTAATATTTTTTATTTATTTTAAACATTTAACTGCTAGATGTTAAAACTAAAGAAAATACCACTAGAACAAACTCCACGCGGACCAGACAACAGACGGGACTCGAGCCAGCACCCGCTCAAGGGTCACGGTAGCATAATAATAATAATAATAATAATAACTGTTTTATTGCCTCCAAATTATGATACACTTATTAAAACGTACCTACTACCTAAAGGAAAAACAAAATTACAAGTATGTGTCTTAAAATAACATTAAGTGGAGGCAAGAGGACGAGGCTCAGCGTAAGCGGAGCCAAGGTATGCATAATGGTCAGTGCATTTGCCCGGATAGCGAAGGGTGCAATTTCGAGTCCTATCTGTTGCCTGGTCCGGAGTTTTTCTAGTGGCATTTTCTTTATATATATCTATAATAAAAAAAAAAAAATCGCTGAATGTGTTGCTAAGCGCAAATCTCGAGAACAGCTGAACCGATTTCGATAATTCTTCTTTTAGAATATTCCTAGAAGTACGAAGATGGTTCGTACGCAGACAAAAAAATAAAAAAATGTCCAAAAACAGCACTTTTTGTTGTGTATACTCCCATACAAATGATTCGCAATAATACTTAAAAGTCAATTTGAACTTTAATACCATACCATAAATTTCAAATGTTAGTGGTGAGGTTCCGGGAAGAGTACTTTTATGAAGAGTCATTTAAATCTACACTACAGCTCTATACCGAAGCGAAGCGAGGGCGGGCCACTACTATACATATATATATATATATATATTTCGGTATATATACCTATAATTAATTATTGTTAAATGTCAAAGTTCAACAATTGAAGCTTGAAGGCGAACTTATATTTTACAAGTTATGTAGCTTTAAAAACAGTTGAAAACCTTCATTGTGACAGCACTACTAGGTCATACAACGAGCTATCTCTATACTACACTACATTTAACGTTAAAAAGGTTAAACTGATAACAATCTAAAAAATACCGCATTTTTAATTGAGCTGTCTGTGTAATGCAATCTTGCAAGACCTTGTTTTTGATACAAATCAGACAGACTCTCTTATTAAATGAAAAGCAATTAGTTAATGAATACAAAACAGTTCGTTATACAAAATAACGATATATGATATAGATAATGAACTGTGCAAATTTAGATACACCTACGTAGCTGTACTTTCAATTAATAGCAATGAACTTGGTTAAAGTATTAGAAAAAAAGGTTTCTCAAAAGTTACAAAAAAAAAATCATCAGGCGAATGCACTGATCTGAATGCTACCGAGACCTGTCCATTTTTTCTGTTCGGAAACGGGACTGCAATGTTTTTTTTTCGACACTTTAGTTACCTACTAAAAAAGTAAAAGTCGGCGCTTTGTAATCAAATTTGAGTAATTGAGTAAAGGAGGCAGGGGAAATATCTTTTCACTTGTAGGTGGCACCAAGAATGAAATACCGCACCAGTCATCATACATCCTCACCTCACCGTCTTGCAAGAAGCTGCTTAGTAGATAGTCTGTCCGGCTGTATATTCGGAGTTTTACTGTCTTGTCGTGACCACCCAAATATTTATGTTTCCGCCATTTAGCTACAACTCTGGCATTCCTATTTTATAAGATGACAATTCTATTTTTGAAGTAACGCGTGGGCATCTTATTCGCTTTGCCCTTCAAAACATAAGAAAAAGCATCAGAGTAACATAACTTAATATCATATCTTTTTCTGAACTATGAACTGAAAAGAGAGACAGACAGACAGTTAGCGGAAACACAAGAAGTTTCTGAATTCGACAAAACTTTTTAAATACAAAATAAAACCAACTTCAAAATCGAAAATGGAACTAAAAAGTAAAAAATAATATCTGGTTCATGATTTGGAGACGGGCGGGTCAAGATTGAAAGAAGAATACAACGAATAGTTTTTTGTTTAAAAAGTTTTTGTTTCATCCATTTTAGTGAAAATTACATCGTCCAAGCAAAACATAACGCAAAAAAATTACGGAGAAATCGGTGAATATGCATAAAAAACACCGTGCGTGCCTTTGAAGGTTTCCCTCGATTGCTCCGGATTCCACCATCAGATTCCGACTTGGTTTCAATGGGACCACCTAGGAAGTGCACTCTTTCGAATAAAAATTTGGAATTTTGGAAATCGGTCCACAATTGACGGAGAAATCGGTGTACATAAAAAAAAACAATAATCAGTCGAACATAGAACCTCCTCCTTTTTTGAAGTCGGTTAAAAATAACAAGGTAATTATTTATTTTTCTGGGTTGTAGTGAGAAAAATACACGTACACAGGCAAAGATAAATAATTATTTATGTACCCGGGTAAGAAATGTACTTGTGCACAGACAAAAAACACCATTACAATGGATTCCAAATTCCAATGCAACGGCAAAATGATGCGTACGTCAGAAAAAACATTGATATTGTTTTTCGAACCAGTTTAGTTAAGAAACCGAACCAGTTATTAATTTATATTTTACTTTAGCTTTAAGTAATATAATAACTACTTTGATAAAATTTTGTTAATTATTATTACTTAAGTACTTCAGTATTTTGATAAATGTCGCGTTATTCCTATGTCGGTACAAAAAGTACATTTTTTCTAATCACTTTCTAGATCCGATGAAAATCAGAATTAAAAGGAATTACCTATGCAAATTCATAATGAAATAATACATTTACTGTAGAAATTGATGTAATTTAATCTATATTAGGTTTAAGTTAGATAAAAGTAGATAAGTTGATAAGCATACATATTTATTGAATAAAGCACAGTTCCTAAAGTGAATTCCAGTGGTGGTAATTTGATTTTAAAAGGTGATAAATTGTACAGTATAAGTGATTCATATTTGACACACTACCTCTGTAATTAATTTGACATAGATTGAAATTGAATATAATGGTAGGTTAGGTACATTTAAAAGATTTCATTGTAATACATCAAATTTCGTTAGCTGTAAATACACACATGAATACGTAGATTAAGTACGTATAGGGTAGTTAACTAGATAAATTTCGTAAAAAAAAATCATTCCAAACTACCTAAAGCTCGTATTATTGAATGATAAGTAAGTGTTGATCTTTACTTGATTACAGTTAGAAAAGGATGTCGTTACAGGTATATATAATAGCACATAGCGACATCAAGTACAAGTTCAACAATTAGTTGTGATATTGTCATACGAGCCTAAGACTACGTTTCGTAGATTCGCAATAATTAGGTACTGCTTTAGTAACTTTACCCGATAACAGGTTTTCAAATATTTTTGTTAAAATTTTATTGATATAATATAACTACTTATCATCAAAATTTTGATAGGTCAATAATTGTCTTCTTTCACATGGTATTGTCTTTGTTAATGCATATCTAAAGTAATTTAATACTACCTTTGCGTAGAAATAGAATTGTTTAAATATAATTATTTTCTGCCTACCTACCAACCACCTCACTGCTGACAAAATGTAAATACTTAGGTATTTTGAAAAATAAAAAAATTACCAACCAGTCCTGTGTTTTTTTTTTATCTTCCACAAGCATATTTTTACTAAATATTGTAATTGTGAAAGTTTTGTATTTACACGATCATGCATAAACGGCCTAACGGATTTTAATGAAATTCAGTACACATAATTATATGGTTTCATTACTTTTATTGAGGTTTTTTTAAGTAGTTAAGTACAGTTTTATTTCTCAGACATCTAACTATAACGCGGACGTCTCCTTTATAAATACGCTTCATTCATTCACCTAGGTATTGCTTTAGTACAGAGATTTTCAAACTTTTTTTTCTATCGTCCACCTTGAGAATTTATATTCCAATAGCCCCCCATAAATTTTACTGTTAATATACACAATTAAACATACTATGTAGTTATTACGTCAGTTATAAAAATCACATATATTAAAGAGCCATTAAGAAATCACAAAATAAGTGTTTGTATTCCTTCAATACAAAAAAAATATTGTATTGATATCATCTAGACGTTGTCATCAAAATCTGTACATACGAGTAGTATGGAACGATGTCGTCCCTGCTGTCTGTGCGCTTAGATCTTTTGATCTATGCAGAGGATTTAAATGAAGATTTCAGCAATAGATAGTGATTCAAGAGAAAGATTTATACGTATAATAGTTATATTGTTGTAAATAATCCCTATGTAGTATATATTGAAGCGAAGCCTGGGCGGGGACTAATTATAAATAATACTCAAATTTTAGGTACATAATTATTTTATTCATTTAAATGAAAAAAGTATCACTTCGCTATTTTTTGAAAATGTTAGTTTCCCAGTCTTCAAATAAATAAAAAGAAATGACGAGAATTTATTTAATTACGAAATTATGGCAAGTTTTGTACTTTTATTATTTGAAGATTGAAAAATATATTAGAATTGTATAGACAATTGACTAGAATATTTGACTAGTTATGATAAATTATACCAGACTTTTTATTTACTATAAATAAATTAACAGAGGTGTTAGATACCTATTTAACTACTAATTAGAATCCACAAGTGTGCACAAGGTACCAATGGTTTAAAAATTGCTTTAATTAAAACTATTGGCAAATAAAGTTATCTAAAAGATTATTTTCAGTATAAATTTTATATAACAAAACATACACTTTCGTCAGATCCCAATGTAGTTAATTGTAAATACCTAATTAATATTTTATAAATAAATTAATATTGCTCTAGTAAGTGATTTATCAATCCTTTCATAAAATTTTATATGTGCTCTAAATACTGTCGAACACCAGCATTATAACAGCTTTCTAACTTTGTATATAAAAAAAACACATATTATTATTATTGAAACGCATTAAAAAGCTATTTCGATAAGACAGTAAATGATGGTTAATGTTAGGTGACATATTAAGTTGATAGGTACTACATGAAGACACACTTTATCAAACAATGTTCAACTAACAACTTTACTAACAATTATTGTAATATCATAAAGTTTTAATATCTTTTGTTCGAGATGAAATTACTTTTACTAGTTATACTATACAAGCACAATGTCTAGGTATTAGTAAAGAGGCAAGTATTTTTCTACTAAACATGTGTTATTGAATGGTGATAATTACTACAGTTGTAAGTTCAACAAAACCAGGTCTTCACTGGTGGCTGACCATCCACGGACACTTCCTGTCACATGAGGCCTAACGCCCCCACCTTAAAACAATAATTATAATAAATAAATATTCATGACACACACCAATTAGTCTAGCTCCAAAATAAGCTCTTAAAAGCTTGTGTTATGGGATACGAGGGAAACGGAGAGAATACATACATATTTAAGTTTATTTTATGTTGAAATACATATAGCATCCAAGACTTAGGAACAAATGCTCGTATTCATCATACCCACAGAATACAGAAAGACGTTAAAAGGGTGATCACACGGTGATCATAACCGTTTGAACGGGAACCCATCTCGCCGGCTCACCACCACTTCACTTCCACCTAATAGATAATAACCAATCAAACTACGCGACATCAAACAAACGAGCTAATCAGCGCTCACATCCAAGAGCAACGACGCAATTAGAACCAAGTTTTGGTCAAGTTATAAGAATTTGCTCACACATAACCTGGCGCGCCTGCCCCGCCTACAAGGCTCTTCTAACCTCTTTCTGTGTTCTGTGGGTATGATGCATACGAGCATTTGTACCTAAGTCTTGGATGCTATATGTATTTCAACATAAAATATACTTATATATGTATTCTCTTCGTTACCCTCGTATCCCATAACACAAGCTTTTAAGAGCTTATTTTGGAGTGTGGTGGACTAACCACACTCCAAAATAAGCGCTGTGGTGTACTAACACTTGCCACACCGGAATTACAACTCGGGACCTCTCGAGTAGGCGATACCTTAAAACCCGTCGTACATACCACGCGGCCACGGATATTATCAATATAATATTAGTAGTGCAATAATTATCAAAAGAAATAACATACCCCTCGTGGGGTTTGCAGACCATCAATTGTGTAGCCATTAAATAAACATCACTCCCACAGCCCCAATGGATGCATGATGAAAATGGTTAGCGCATTCGGCAGCAATCGTGTTTATACAGTAACGTTCACATTGACCTATCTTAGACCTATCATTGGCCTATATATGACCAAAATATATAATCTCTAGGTCCCTTATACTCTCGAAGTCAAGCCGTTGGTTACGGATCCATCAGTAAATCCATATTCCGTGTATAATAAAAGCTGACATTGGCCGAATGAAACTATCAGGTTGGGCCAGGGTCGGATTTAAGGCAGGCTATGGCCCAGGGTTTTGGCAACGTGCAAATCCCTGTGCATATCGTTAGCCTTAAATTCAGCCCTGGGTTAGGCAAAATGACTTTAAGGAGCTTGTCCAACGTATCAAAGTTCAATCAGGACCTACTTACTTAGTAGTCTACACCTTCATGTTTTTCACCTCTGGGTTGAGTAATTGTATTGATGACCGAAAATTAAATTACCTCGAACTCTTTCGCGGCTAGTGACTTTGTTAAACTGTTGATCCTAGTTGCATCTATAATCGTCAGCACCCACATAATAGGTCGGTTATGATGCAATCTGCAATTGTTAATATCGCTGAATCTATTACCTTAGCAAGGTCGGGCACGTCGATCTCAGGCGAACCCTTCATGGCGACGTATTCCGAATCAATGGGTACATAGTCATCCGCTCCATCAGTATAATCTAGCACTGGATTCAGTTCCGCATCATTAAGTAGTTTCAGTGAGTCGTGTAGGGCGAGCCGACGGGCAGGCGAGGCTGGACGGGCGTAAGGGGGTGGTTGAGGGCGGTTGTAGCTGGCAGCCAAGTTACGACGAGGGCTAGACGGACGGACCAGACTGTTGTTGGGGCTAAAACAACCAACAATAGTGGATTTAACGAACAAAAACAGGAGATAAAGACCTCGTTACAAAATACTCCTAAAACTGACATTAAATTAAAAGAATCTCTGTCGATTGTCATGTCATACTACGCAAGTCAGAATGAGATGAATTAGGTTGAGCAGTTTGAGTAAGTCCTATAGGGTAAGTTGAGGACCTTAGTGGTAGCTGGCGCCCAAGTTCCGACGAGGGCTAGACTAACGGACTAGGCTGTTGTTGGGGCTTAAACAACCAACAGCAGTGGATTTAATGAACATAAAGAAGCAATTATGCAGGCCATCAAGGTGAGGATGGCTGGTGTGGCAGATAGAACTGCTAACTGCTGTACCAGTTATCTTCGCGTCTGGACTCCACCGTCACTTTACATCAGGTGTGTTGGAGTAATTTTTCGGACCTATTTATATTAAAATAGACCTGGTTGTGTTTGGAAATCTACGGAGGTCTAACCCCCTCTAGGGATTTTCAAACATAACCTTATACCTCGAACTCTACTGTGGATAGTGACTTTGGTAAGCTGTTGATCCCAGTTGGTTGTGTTTGGAAATCCCTAGAGGAGGCCTAAGTCCAGCAGTGGACGTCCATCAGCTGATAATGATGATAATGAAGGCGTCGTTACAAAAATCATCTAAGCAGGGGGCGATACTCCTAAAACTGACATTTTAATTATCTTTGGCGATAGTCATATCATACTGCGTAAGTCAGAATAAGATGGACGCGGACGATGTTGAGTAGTTTGAATGAGTCATATAAGGTAGGTTGAGGTCGGTGTTAGTTGGATGGGCTACAAAATTAAGAGGTTCATAACTTTGATAAAACACTTTTTAAACGAGACAGTCTTGTAACCAGTGAGCCTCGAATATGAAACTAATTGACACTGATCTGTGATTGGCAGGAAGTGCACCAGAAGTTTGAAACACAAAAACATCTTCTATGTGATAAACATGATTTACTGTACAAATTGAGTAAAATATTTAGGAGGTCATATAATACGAACAGAGGAAATCTAATTTTGAGCTTCTAAGAAGCTATCGGGCAATAATTTCATTTCGTGGCGAGTCACAATAGATCTATTAGGTCGCGTTGACTATAGTTCAATAGAAGACTGTGCCCCAAAACTATGATTATGATAATACCAAAGAGCCCGTAACGCAATTTTATAACTTTTATTCTTACTGTGATATCTTTTCCGACTTTTTATTATAAATTTGAATTTTGGATAATTGTTCCTTAATAATGCAAACGCGCATTCACAAATTTGGATGAAATTGGGCACACATTTAGTTTATTACGGTTACAGATATAGGATACTTTCTCCGGAAAATAAAATATATTTTTAAGTTTATATACTTCATTTATTTATTTATTCTATACTTCAGTTTCTTAATTTTTTCATTAAATTAAATGTAAATACTATAGGATATTTACGTTCCGTTTTTAAGTACTTTGGTTATATATATAATTCAACTTACCTCACACCGATACTCTTGTTGCTCGTATTATCAGCTACTTGCGTCTGATCAGTGTTGCCAGTTCCGTACCGACAGATCTCCACTTTGTTCGACTTGTGGGCTCTAAAACAAAAATCAAAAATGTTCTGAACGTATTTTACAATATAAGCTTGAGCACGCACGAGCGATACGATTCATATAAAATATGAAATTAGAGGTTAGTAGTAAATGACCTCTCACAAATGTTATTGGAAACCTTTTCAACTTGTTTTAACAAAAACATGAAATATTTTTGTTATTTATTTCTAATTGTTTCTGTGTTAATAAATAAAAAGAGATTAAGAGGCTTGTTAGATGCTTAAACAACACAAGCGCAATGTTAATTTGTTAGCCACACACATTGTATAACAAGTTATCTAATAATACCTTCTATTTCTATAATCAATGCAAATATGAAATATATTTTGTAGGAAATATTCTGACTGTGAGTCCCGTCTGAAACGAAAATTATTATAAAAAAAATGCTGTAGATACGTTGTTAGTAGGTAATAACTATATATTTCGATACATTTAGAAATCTTATTTTTTTTATAGTTCTAAATTATTATCTAGGGTACTACAAAGTTATCAAAAATATCGGTTAAATGATATAACTAAGCCAAGATGGTTTAAATTCAGCGCGTAATGGAAAACTTTTTACTATACACTAAATTAAGATACCTACTTGTGAAATAAATAGTATTAATACATATTTTTTCTGTAGCGAGGTATACACCCCGGAAAAATTCTTGAACATAAACCATGGATAATGGAGCCTGCGCAGTAGCAATTTTACATATAAAAAAATATATTCTTTGCAACTTTATTTCTCTAAAGTTTCGCTCAAAAACATTTCCTCTACCTTTACTCAGCTCCCGCTGAAATTTCACGCGTTTACATACTTGCAATTTATTCTATAATGTAAAGCTTATCGTCACTGCCTGAACATTTCTATATTCATTTTTGGAGATAAGCATGTGTACCCCTTTTATAACTATGAACTATTATTTCTTATACATAACGACAAACACTTACACCGAAGCGTAATGGAAGCATAGTACAGCAGTGAGCGCAGCGACGGACAGCAGAAGCAGTAGCAAGGGAACAGCTACTGCGGCAGTCAAGTGTCGAGTGTAACTGCGTACTGGTAGCGAATGCCTGCTCGGTGCTGACCATACGTCGTGGGTCCACGTGGATTTTACTGAGTGCGCAGCTTTACTAGTGTTGGGTATTTCGGTTAAGTATTCCACGTGTTCGGTAGATCGTTCCCTGTATATGGTGTTGTACTGGGAAGAAGAAGATTTGGTCATGTATAAAAAAAGTGATATAAGCTAAAAAGCTTATGTCACTTTTTTATACTAGGTACATAAAGTCGTTAGAATGACTTTTATAAAGTCGTTGCTAAGTTCAAATGAAATCTAGAACGAGAACAATTGCTGTTGATGCAGAAATAAGTACTACAATGATTGCGTTTTGACTCGGTCAAGCTTTTGTAAAACTTTGTTAGTTTTGTTTCAGTATTGTATGCTATTTACTCAACAAATAAATTTATTTCTTTAAAAAAAACCCGGCTACATACGTACTGTCTTGCTGTCTGATTAACATACATATATGAGTTTTCACCATTTGGTCAAATTGACCAAAAATAAAAGATAAATATCTTAAAAAAGTTTTTAAATCACTATAAAAAAAGTACGCACTTATTTTGAATATCCGGGCTTTTTAATGTTCGGTAAAGTTAACAAGACTTTGTGATATTTTTACGAGAGAGCTTTCAGGTATTCTAAATTGTAATGCACTTACTTCAAGGATTATAATAGGTATGTATACTCTTATTTCACTTACCAGTTGGAAGTTGCACCAGTCGAGCGTGAATCCAGCATCCCTGAATAGTCTCTCGGATGTTGTTCGCTTATAGTCTCGCGGGCAGGTGGGTAAACGCGCTAATGGCCTCACTTCTTCGCGCAGCCATTCTAGTTGTTTCGATAGTGGAGCGGAACTGCCTAGACGTACTACCAGCCTGTGATAGGAAACGTTGGTTTTGGGAATCGATGATTTATTTATTTCTTACGATTTCATGCACACTTTTATTTAATAGGATTTTTTATTTGATGTCGTTCTGTACGAAATACGTTGGCTTTTGAAATCAATGATTTTTTTATTTCTTAAGTTTTCACATACATTAATAATTTAACAAAACCCTTTTTGAACGGTTAATTTTCTAGCGTCCCCAAAATGTAAGTTCATATAAGGCAATTTTAGAAATCGTAGAAAGTCGTGCGTGCTGGGTTCTCGCGCCCATTAGGGGGCTTTTTTCATATTTTGAGAATGACTGACCTTATTGTTTATTACGTTTTGGCATTTTGTGCTGTAGATATTGTCTATAACTAGGTACTTTTGAATTATATTGTTTGTTTCACATAACTGTTTTTAAAAACGGTAAGAAATAAAATGTTTGAATTTGAGAGAGCGGCGCTTGAATTTAAGCGTTCGCATTATGGGACTAAATTTCAATTCTGTAGGTCGGTTTGCTGCGGATTCAAACATCAGACAATAATAATGTGATTACTCATTTTCAGTCCCCCAGATCATATTATTTGAACAAATAGCAATGTAATGGAGAGATATAGATCTTCTATTGAACTTATGTATAAAAGGCTATTAGATATATTATTTAAATAAAGATAATTAATCACCCTTCGCCATCGCTAGGCCTCAAAGGTAGTCGAGCCCCCAGGTCGATTGCTGAAGCTAAAAATGTTGTATAAAGATCTTGGCTGCTTTCCACCCACAGTTTCGTTTTGAGTATGTCTTTAAGACGTGTCATCCTGAAAATAATCACTCAATTTACTAAAAATGCTTAGGCGCTTTTGCTTATCTGCACCTCTTAGTGTTGTAGATACTTTCGACATAGCTGTTAATAAATGGGAAATTCAGAACAATTATTTATTTCATTTTAATGCATTGGATACCTCTCGGCATCGGAAACAAGAAATCCTTTCGTTTTTGGAAGTCACGTTATACCGTTGTTCCCGGCTGCGTCTGCAGTCAGCATGCACCGTACGAGGAGCACCCACCAATCCACCGTACGAGGAGCTCGATGGCGCAGGTGGTTAGCGCGTTCGGCTGCGATCTTTGTAGTTAAGCAACTTTCGCAATGGTCGGTCATTGGATGGGTGACCAAAAATCTTCTATCTCGAGTTCCTCCATGCTTCGGAAGGCACGTTAAGCCGTTGGTCCCGGCTGCATCTGCAGTCGTTAGCATCCGCCAAGCCGCACTGGGTCCGCGTGGTGGGTCATGGCCCAATCTCCCTATTCCATCCATAGAGAAGGCCTATTACATATATAGGCCTATACGAAGGACATTAATAGGCTGATGATGATGATGAATTCACCGTGGTCCGCTGGGCTTGATAAGTCATGGCCTAGTCTTCTTACTGCATGATATCATTTACCTTCAAAAGGTCTTAGCATAGAAGTAGCGCCAATAGTGCTCCTATTCATATATATATATCATATTTATTAGATCTGTACTTTCATATAAAGAGGTAAAGTTTGTGAATTGTGACAATCTCTGGAACTACTGAACCGATTTTGAAAATTCTTTTACCAACAGAAAGCTAGGTACGTTATTCGGTAGTGTCATACTAGGCCATATATTAGAACAAAAACTGTTGTCTTCAAGGAAAGCGAAGCGAGGGCGAGCTACTAGTATTAAATATTTCATATATATTTCTTGACGACCTCCGTGGCCGAGTGGTTTGTACGCCGGGTTTCATGGTGTAGCCGACTCGAGAGGTCCCGGGTTCGAATCCCGGTGGGGGCAGATGTTTGTGTGATGAATACAAGCATTTGTAGTCCAGTCATGGATGTTTAATATGTATTTCTATACAAATATACTTATATATGTACTGTATATGTATTCAATCCGTTACCCTAGTATCCCGGAACACAAGCCTTACAGTGCTTACTTTGGGGCTAGGCTAATTGGTGTGAGTGTTGGAAATATTTATTATTTATATTTATTTATATATCGCATGATTCCACGCACACCAATCATTTAATAAAAACTTTTTAACGGGTATAAATGAACTCACCGATGTTCATCAAGCAAATCTTCTACGTTTAAGTTGTCAATCTTCAATTCGACCTCATGTCTGGCCATGTTCACTTTAGGCTTGACGAAGAGGGAGAGCAGGACCCGCCGTGTTTCGTAGTCTTGCCGATTCAAACCAATAACTTCGATCTATTGGAAGAGCAATAAATGACGAATGTTAAAGCATAATGATAATAATAATAATGTAATCATTTATTGTGGAATTTGAAAATGGCTAATCCATTAGGTCGCTGGTTCAGATCCGGCTCGAAGGACCAAACTTTAGGGGCTGTTACTAGGACCCTGACGACTGTCAATATACTGTCAGTTAGTCATCAAGACCCCATTGTCGTCACAGCCAAATTCACAAAAGTGATGCTGGACAACAAAATCCTGAAGATGGCGGACACAGTCTTGAGCTCAGGGACGGAGTCATGGACTGTGCCCGAAATCGAATGGATCAACGGGGTCCCGGGGTGTGGGAAGTCAATATCCGTCTCATAGTTGACGAGGCTCTCATGAACCACCTTGGCTCCTTAGTCCTCATCACCCGTATAACAGGAGCACAGATGGTCGTACTTCTGGGCGACATAAATCAGCTGCCCTACATTGACAGAGAAAACCTGTTCCGTCTGAGGTACGAGACTCCGCATGTTGTGGCAAATATCACGCGAGAGCTGCTCTGCACCAGGAGAAACCCCCTGGATGTCGAGTTTGCCCTGAGCGCTGTGTATGACGGGATATATTCCGACAGACCCCGGATCCGGTCGCTCCATCTAACAGGATATAGTGTATCTGGGAGAAGGGGTGGGATATTTGCCTCGGTTGTACATACACAAGAGGAGAAGGGAACCTTGAGCGCCAAAGGCTATGGAAGTGGGACTGGATCCAAGATCCTTACCATATACGAAGCCCAGGGACAAACATGCAAGAACACCTGCATCATAAGAACCAAGGGGATTCGAACGAAACTGCACGACAGCATCCCGCACGCCGTGATAGCTGTGTCGCGACATACACACAGCTGTTGCTACTACACAGACGACAGCGACGACGCAGTAAGCCGCTTCATAAAGCGAGCGACAGGCGCGGCCATGGAGTCAATAATCCGTTATAACACCAAAAGTGCGATACGTATGAGAGACTATGACACTGTAAATATAATGAGAAATTTGACTGAAGTCTGAAACAGCTAAATCTGGACCGACCTGACACACCGGACATGATATAATATAAAATAGTGATTAGGAAATGTAAATAGAAATACACACGGACATTACCCTAGATATAAGTAGCATAGATATAAGTAAAGTAAATTTTTGTAAGCAAGAAACATAGCAGTAAATGTTGTACCATATAAACAAATAAATTTAAATAATTACCAAAAAGATAGCGAAACTCGGGCCCTTGCGTGCGATGAGTAGGAGAGGGAACTCACGCAGGAGCCCGAGACCGCAAAAACATAACACAAGGTACACAAATAGAATAAACTGAAAATCCTTTTGTTCCACAAAGCATGTACAATAGATAATAAGAGGAAAAAAAAAGCGTAAGTATACATATAATAGAATATTCATTAAAAAGGGGATGGACAATATGTCCAAATTTATATTAGTTAAGTAGACATAAGTGAGCATGCCGCATGTTTGCATGATTAAATATAAAAGGCCGCACTGAGTGCACAAACAAATGTATAACAAAAATTAAAAAGAAGACAAACTAAATAATGACATGGGCATACGCCTATGGAGTAATTGTATTCATTTATAAAAAAAACATGTCAATTAGTCACGGGACGATTATCAGGAGATAATTATTAAAATACGTCAATATGATGTGAATGCCTTTATTGCACTGTCATATAATGTAAAATATTATTCTTAAACCAATTAGTGGGTCAACTGAGTCAGCAGTTTAGAGTGCATCGACTCGGAATGAAAACTTAATAAAATATAATTAAAATGGCTTGTACAACATACATGTGCAAAGAAAGACCATTTTTTAGGCATTTGAGTGGCGCCATGGAAAAATTGGTTTCTCACTCTTTTAACTTCGCTTTCTTAACTCCTCTAAAATATTATTTCTGGGATAAAAAGTGTCCTATATCCTTTCCTAGGACTCCAACTACCTCTATACCAAATTCCATCTAAATCTGTAAAGCGGTTAAAACGTGAAGAGGTAACAGACAGACCTGCATCTTCCGCTATATGCACGGTTGCCGGCGGTTTTAAAATAGTAGTTAAATGCTTAAAATTAAAATATAATAATGTAAGCAAGTTGAAGTGGCAGTGGGTTGGCCATATTTGCCGAAGAACCGATAACCGTTGGGGTAGACGAGTTCTGGAGTGGAGACCGCGTCTAGGAAACGTAGTGTATAGGACGTCCTCAGGCACGATGGAGTGACGATTTGCGCAAGGTGGCTGGCAGGAGCTGGATGCGAGTAGCCCAAGATCGATCTGAGTTGCGTGCATTTGGAGAGGCCTATGTCCAGCAGTGGACTATGATGGGCTGTTGATGATGATGAATGTAAGCAATGTGAGGGTGGAGTCCAGACGCCAAGATAGCTGGTATAGCAGATTTACCTGGGACACCAACCATCCCCACATTGTCAGTCTGTCAAAATAGGAAGATACGACACTCGCGGCTTAAAAGTAATCCGCTTAAATTGTGGTGCATGACCATAATTCGTTTTAGTCACAATTGGACATTCAAACACGCTGCATGTGCAATGTGTGTCAATATAACAATATTGCGTATATTCTGTGTTATAAAGATAAAACAATGCCTTCGATGCTTTTATAAAGAACACAAATAGGGCAAAGTCAAATAACCTATGCCTCGGCACTTTTTATTCGAAAACTGTAAAAACATTCTTTTCTCAAAAATCACGGTTTGTCGTGAATGTTTTGTACGTAATCGTCATTTTGTTATCAAGAAAAGGACAAGAATACAGATCAGCCGTACGGACTTGGAAGCAGACTCGCCGTTTCGCTCGCGCTGCGTTGAAGCGTAGACTTCTGTCTCGCTCGCTCGATTGAATGTTTATTTATACAGACGCGTGCGTGCGTGTGAGTTGCTGGTGTAGTTGAGTCGGATCATATTTTATTTGATGCTAATATGAGCGTACCGTATCTTCCCGTTTTGTTTTAATCTAAGAGCAAAACAAATAGTAACTTACCGTGATTGGCGATTTGGTGCTACGCGGTGGAGTGCCGAATATGAATCCGGAATGGTGTCTTCCGCTGTAGATGTACCTAAGCCACGACGGCAGCTCCGGTTTGCCTTGCAGCGACGCATGGAAACGGTACTGTTGGTCGAATTCTGCGAACATTTTAATAGAAAACTTTTGAACGGCTATATGTATAGCTCCTCCGAGGAGCTCGATGGCGCAACTGGTTAGCGCGTTCGCTTGCGATCGTTGAACTTAAGCAACTTTCGCAGTGGTTGGTCATTGTCATCGTCCCGGCTGCATATGCAGTCGTTAGCACCCACCAATCCGCACTGGGCCCGCGTGGTGGGTCATGGCCCAATCTCCCTATTCCATCCATGGGGAAGGCCTGTGCCCCAGCAGTGGGGACATTAATAGGATGATGATGATGATGATATGTATAGCGCGACTTACGACTTATTTACGCAGCAAAGATGTCGCGTTTCCGATACCTGTGCGCGGCGTACGATACACTCAGTAATATAAGGGGCGTATTTTAAAATGTACTGCCCTGTGCCACTAACGATTTGCATAAGAATTAGTAAATCAAATTAATAATACCATTTTGTAACGAATTTTAATTCTGCGGCTCCTCGTAGCCTGCCGCCCCGGGCCATGACCCCTTTTGACCGTAAGGTTCTACGGTTTGCGTATGAGACTCTACATAATGGCATCCACGGTGCTATTCGCGGCGAAAACGTTGCGTGACCAAAGCGTATTCGCTGCGCATTCGCTCCGCTCCGCTTCGTTCCTTGGTCGTCGCAAAAACGGAGCTAATTAATATAATCATAAATAGTTGAGCGGCTGTATGAAATGTTGCACAGCTTCTAATATCATTATTAGAAATAATGATATTATGAGCACTGTCATCACTCGTTAATAGTCCTAGACACTCAGTACCAGAGGCGTTGATATCAATATGACTCTCTCTAGTTATCTACCCACAGAAATAAATTATTGTTACTATATCGATCACAAGGAAATACCCTCCACGCCTCGCCAACCACTGCCTACGTCCACCAGTGGGGACATTAGTACATAGTAATTAACTTAGTAAAAAATAAATGGAAATTAAATGAGCCGTTTTTAAATAGAAACGTCTTTGACGTCAATAAGTAATAGGCAATGTCTTTTAAAAGCTGTTAAATTTTAAATTAACCGTTTACAAAAGCAACCATTCATTATTATTTCTAAAGGAAAACGCCGCGATAGCACTTTGTCAAATTAATTATGTCTATTAAATTTAAACTTTATTACAACGAAACAAGATTGTTTTTATATATTAATTCTTGTAAATATTAATATTTACGAGTTACTTAATTAGGTAAATATAGTAGTTATTGTTAACACAAACCTTGATAAGTCCAGTTAAATAAATTGGGACTGATAGGAATTGCGAACATCTCAGTTTCCACCGCATTGTGAACGTGCGTAGATGCCGCAACCGTTGTTATCGTAAACGCCCACAACAAATATTGCACAGGCATCTGAAAACAAACGGCGGTTAAAAACTATTCTAAACAAACCTTTTACACAAACTATGCAATTTAAATATGTATTAGTAAACAAAAGTAAACTCTTTTTTTATTCGATGAATAGTATTGGCACAAACTATTAAGAATTTCAGTCAACAACGTCTTACTTTTATATTTTTTTATAATTCTATCATGGTTAAGTATACTTTTAGGTGCGCTAGAAAACTGTAATAGTTGTGTGAAGTCGACCTATTTCACTTGAAGAAACAATGCAATCGATTTCTATTTTAACAGTTTACAAAAGGTTACGGACTGAATACGGATCGCACATGTGCAGTAAAAGGAACGCCCCACGGGCACTCAGGGAGGCACTCTAGGTGTAGGTGTCTTCAGATTTTTATAAACTCCCAATATAAAAGCAACAATGGATATTGACTTTTGGAGATATTAATGATATAATTTGAAAGTTAAAATCAAATTAGTAAACCACTGTGATACTAGTAACAGCTTAGTTTAATCTAAGAATAACTGATAGGATAGGTTTATAAAGATCAGCAACTAAAAATTCCTTGAGACACTACAGCAGATATTTTTAATGGTAAACAGTTGCCAAGTCATAAATATTTTGTTAAGAATTATAGTTTTTACGTGGTTACACTTCCTCGTTATATTTTACGTTGTGCGTACCTTCGATATAAATAAGCAAATACGTCCCTGAAAACTGGGCGTGACGTAAATCCTGAACGTACGTCATTGGTTATAACCCGCCTAAATCTAGAAGCTCTTTATAAACGAGAGATACGTTTCGTTCCACGAACACCATTCGTTGAAAATATTCATATTTCGCAGTTTCTTTGTAAAATTTGTGCTTCAATCAAATATCATTATAAAATTTCATTGAAAATTAATTACGATGTTGCGTAAGAACATAAAATGTTAATATTTTGAAAATCTAAATATAGAATAATAAAATGCGATAACAGCATCCCACTAAAGCTACGATACTTTTTATTTTAGTAGGGTTATATACTGTTTATACTCTACGTGTGTGGGCGTACAAATGTCACTCGCTCATTTTGATTTACACAAATGTCAAAAAGGGCTGGGACGAAACGGGTGATATCGCGATATTTGTGAAAATTGCCCTTTTACGTGTGAATATAACAAAACTTAACTTTAATAATGTAATCTGTATTCAACGCATAAACGGCGCGTATCTGCCGTATTGCCTAAAACGTTGAAAATTCGCCGTTGTGGAGACTTTATAATCACGCTAGTTTTGGCGCAATTGTTTTAGTTCATAACTCGTCAATAATATCATGTTGAAGTTTAAAAAAATGGGTTCGGATAAAGTGCCGCTGCTGCTTGTGACTGCGAACGTGGGATCAATATTTGAGGATGTGAGTATACCGAAATAATCTTAAAACAATGCATTACACTTTAGAACTTAGCATTAATAATAATTAATTACCATAATTCAATTAAAATGTGAATGTTTAGTCGTCACCGCTGTTTATAGAATTAGTAACACAGCGTTTCGAAGTATCTTATTTAAGTTGGTAATTTATACACAACTGCCAAATGTCTGTCTTTACATTTATATAATTTTCTATGGTGTATGTATAAGAACATAATAAATTTAATTATATAACGATTTTACGAGTTAAATCTAAACTTCATAAATTTCTTTTTAAAAAGTTTTTTCTCCTAAGTTACATAAATTTTCTGAGATTGTCTTTCAACATCGGCTTATTTAAATTGCTTACTCATTATGACTGACTTTCAAGTACTTACTTATTATTATTAAACTGTGTGTGTACAAAATTTTAAATAGTTGAATTTAATATAAATTTCTTTAACTATTTAAATTCAAGTCTTTATGCTGATATAGGTTCATTTATTATACTTAAAAAGCTAATGTACATTATTGACTACATCAGCCTATCCTGCTGACATATAGGCGTCCTCCAGCTCCTTTCACGCAGTCCTGTCTCTAGCCACTCTAAGCCAGAGGGTTCCTACTGCCATTCTTATATCATCGGACCACCTTTTGAACATTCTTTCAGTATTTTCTTTAAGTATTGAACCTTGGAGTCCATGCTGTGGTCTTTCTTGTCCACTTCTTCTACCACCATTGTAGATGTTTTGTTTTCAATACTACATCCTTAAATGACTTTCCTAATGTCAGTGGCCTTCTTCTTATCTTTCAGGCGATACCCTAGGATGCTTTTCTGACAGGTTCAAAAATATTTTTTGTTGTACTTGTGACATGGCCCTAGTTTGACAACTGTATGTGAGAATTAGCCAGATGCATGTATCGAAGAGTTTTCTTTTCACTTTTATATATGTTGTCGCATTGATTGCAATCAATTTTTGTTTCATTTCTATATTACCAGTAATTACCACCGACTCGTCAGCAAACCTGAGGTGTTTCAGTCTATTGTGTAGATTCTTAAGTAACTCCAATTCATGGCTCTAACGGCTTCTAGAACTGCAGGAAATAGCTTTGATGAGGGCAGCTCTCCTTGTCTCAGACCTTTTCAGATTGGGAAGCTGTCCCCATGTGATTCAAGTTTTAATTGTTCTGTGCAGCTTAGGTAGATATTTTGATTGTTATTTTAGTTTTATTCCTTATTTTTTGAGGACTCCATATGTGCGAGTATTGTAGGCAATCAAAGGCCTTGATATAATGTTCGAATAGCAAGTACAGGGTGTGACCAAATTCTTGAAAATTTTCTATAACTTGTATGAAAGTCATCTGTCATTAAAAATCCAAAAGATTAAAAACCTCGGCTTATTCTGTTGGTTGATCGATATCCAGTTTTTTTGAGATACGGCTTAGGATTACTTTTGTGTACACCTTGTATACATTTGACATTAAATTGTAGGCCAATAATTCCCAATGTCATCTATGTCTTTTCATATACATATAAGAATTATGGTGGTGTGTTCATCTACTGGATAATTCTTCAGAAATTATGTACCATAAAAATTATAATAAATTTTACTAAGCACTAGTGTTTATATGAATTCTGGTTTAGCAGGAACTGCAAGGTAAATGTGTATGCTCATAGTTTACCTTCCTACTACATATGCTCATTTTAGAACTCATTTTACATGTTAGGAAAAAATAACTCCTATCAATAATTTTATCAAAATTTATTAGTATAATGAGCACAATTTTTCCTCTATCATGATTATTATAATAATGTTATTAAAATGTTTTATGACCATTTAGTTTTTATAATTCAAGGTCTGCTTAGGTCTGTTTGAACTAAATGTTGGGTAAGTTGTCTAAATTTTGAGTGCTGCTGTACTCAAAATAAGACAATCACAACTGAATGAAACCTCAAATTTAATAGGCCACTATTTTTTTTCTATAACAATATATACAAATAATTATAAAGCACTGTCATGAAGCACATAACTTTTTCATTACTTGGAACACAGGTTGTAATCATTGTACATGAAAATTTAAAGAAGTTTAATTTATTTATGTAAGTTTAAAGATCTCAGTCTGCAATTCTGCATTGGGTGTGAATAAAGTTTTATGTATCTATCAATTCACCTAAAGGAGCAAATGTAGATAGACAGACAGTTTCACAATTTAAATAAAAATATGGATAGTATAAGGGCTGCATAATGATTGATCATTCCCCTTAAGAGTGTATTTAGCATTTATTGCTACAAAATGTTCGTTGAATAAAAGTAGGCCACCTGTATTTTCATTTCATGAGATCTTCACTCTATCTTAGTCGTTTGTTCTCTCGCTACTTTTACTTTGGGCGAGTCGCCGGCCAGTGAGAGTTTTAGAAATTGAGAATGTAGAAGCAGTCTCTAAATCAATCTCATTTGTTTGTCAGTAAAGCTGTTTAGCCATAATACCAATAACAAGCTAAAAGTGTCCTTTGTCCTCATCAGTAACACACAAATGTGTACTGGAGTAACCTCACACTCAAAATCAAATGGGGCGGAATAAATTGACGTTCTCTAAAAAAGATATAGTATCATCACATGCTGTATGTAGTGCAAATGCATTATATTAATATAACACAAATAATCCGATAAGCGTTCCATGTCAGTCGTTATTAAATGTTGTCGTTTTCGATAGGCCTCTGATTGTAGTTATTGGCACTCCAGGTTTGTTTCATAAATTTGTTTGGCCGCCCTCACTTCGAACTAGAAGGTCAAAATGGCAAAATATGTTGATACATTTTGCCATTTCTTTCATCCCACAGTTATGGTCTAACCTATATCCAATACCTAATGAAAGATTTTTATATTACAAATTTGAATCAGAATTTCTATTTCCATTTTCGTAGTATAGAATTTTTGGTTGAAGTATGTAGGTATACCTATTTGTCAAAAATGTGATGTAGAGGATGTAAGTTAGAAATTCAAGATTAGGATGGTTTAGGTCTTTTCTTCTTCATCTTTTCATTGTTTTCGGCAACTATTACATTTGATGTCGTGCCGGCATCTAATTCGCTCCAAAGCCGGGGCCATTCGGTTTCACGCATAGCGTAAACATGCAGAATGTGCTAAAAAATGTCTAATGCGCTAAATGTCAAATATAAAAAAAGGATTTTAAGAGACACGCCACAAGCACCCGAACCCGACACAGCAAATTTTTATTGAAAATTCTAACCCAAAAAGTCCTAAATCGGCTCAACCCGGAAAAGATTCTAAACGTTGATAGTGGGTTATAAGAAACCTATTTCTTAACACAGTTATTTATTTCGTAGGAATAGGAGCGCACCTTTGTACCAGTCCACTTTATACACGACTGTAGCTGAACAAGGTTGCCAGAGCCCGGGCTTCAGAAGGTTCACCTCAAAGTGGGTATCGTCTGACTGGTGCAGATGTGGTGCTAGTGATATTATCTGGTTTTTATTGGGTAGGTGGGATTTTGCTGCTCATTTCATCGTTTGGGGCTGAAAAACAGGGTTAGGGAGCAGTTCTCCAATACCCTGTTCGGCGCCTCTCCCGGTGGTTCAGGGAGGCGTAACACATTTTCCAAATAGTAAAAAACGCAGGACTAGCTGGTACGGCATGCATCTTTACCATAACAGCTATCTCCGCGACTTAAACATCATGTGTATATAGTAAATTGCGGGGCCTCGTATAAAAAATCAATATATAAACGATAAAAATACTCTTTCCTACTTTGTGGCTCGAGTGTGTGCCATGCAGACAATTAGTTTATCCGTCGATGGGCATCCAAGCGAAATCTAATTGGATTTCGGGCCGCTACCGGCTCTGATTTAGGTCACGGTCGAGCCTGTTCGGGGAAAATGGTTTGACGTTGATGAAACTTATCTCTGACTTGAAATTCCGCTCCCCACAGGAAAATACAGTGGAATACTTTGATAAATTTTGCAGGTAGATTAATGCGAATAAGGCCGCGTCGTTCCATCCTGAGCTTTTATCCATAGTTAAATGTTACTTTAGATAAAATACTAGAAAAAAAATATTACACATTCACTATGTTTTTGAGGAGACATTGACTATATTAGACAAATTTAACTGTAGATGAAACGCGGCCTAAGTATATTTTAATCAAAAGAGTATTGAACTTTGTTCCGTTATTCAAAAAGGCGTGGAATATCAATTTGTAATCTGGGAAGAAGGTGGGTGCATGACGCACAGCAATAGAATAGTCGTCTATTCTATCTCTTGATACAGATATGCGCTTTCCTATCGCACCAGCTATATTCTGCAATCCAAATATTCTGGACTCACGTATGGGTATAATCTGAAGTCTTCTACAACCAAGTTATATCTACTTAGGTATAAAAAACAGTAGTAAAAGGTGACATGCTTCGACGTAGTTTGGCGAAATGGCATCGCCGGATCGGATTGGACATCATCCGAACCAAGTTGTTGTTGTATTCTGGCTAGAGTATTTGTATGTTAAACTCGGAAGTTGTAACAATATTGTGATTCGCGAGCATGATTCAGGATCTTGATGTCGCAATATTGGCCGCTGTGCATTTCTGCTTTTTCATGCTGATGTTACAGTTTGGCGAGTAATCTGGATGTCGTATCATACCGGTTGCTACATTTGACTATTGGACGAGTAACTGATAAATTCGTATTTTAAGATATTCTATTTATGTATACACGCTGATGATGCTTTGATGTCTGTATTATTAATGAAGCCCTAGAGAGTGACTACTACCTACGTGCAAAGCAGGGATGTTACGGAGTTTCGATTCCGACTCCGTTAAGTCGGAACTTCCGATTATTATTACACCTTCGGTTCCGACTTCGGCTCCGACACTTTTAAATTGGAGGTTTATCGGAAGTTGAAGCATAACATAGCGGCGGCGGCCTGCGTCGACTGTTATGAACAGGTTCATATATGTCGCGCGAGGAATCCCTCTAACTCCCGCTACGT